TCCATATAATTCATGTAATAAGCCTCTCTCAGCCTAATACATGATAAATATATATAGATATAGGCTAATGCATACTTACCAACGTTAATACTAATCCTAATCCCAAACTAATTCAGGTTAAAACATAATAAAAGAAAGGAAAAATAAAAATAACTTTTATAGTAATTATATTAATACTATAATCTGACTATATATATATATATATATATATATATATATATATATATAACTAATCCTTCCTTTATTATTAATAATAATACATACCATAATAATTGTAACATAAGTATATACATATATATAAATAAATACTCCATCCATTATTATTAATAAAATAATTATTATACTAATAACAATATCCATATACATATACACATTAATATATACATATATAAAACCAATGCCCATGGGTTATAATCCTACCCATTTAGGCTCCTATCCATGTAGTCTATGTAACCTATTTGGTTAGTCCATTACTCCTATCCAAATTCATTCATTTTAAAATAAAAATAAAATAAAATAAACCACCAAAACATTTAAATAATACATAATTACAAACAAATACACAGTTAAGCCATAAGATCACATTACATAAATAAAACACACAATACACATTAAACAATTCAAATCAATTAAGCATATAACACATAAACACATAGCCAAATAAGCACATAATCACATAATTAAATAAAATACAATAAAATAAATAATTAAATTCCATTTATATCCTTTTAAAAATTAAGAGTATTACACTCTACCCACCGCCGAAAAGGGTCTCACGCGCCCCCATGCACTGTCAATGCACGTGAGGTTGCACCCACCTGTACAGCTTTATCTTCTTCCCCAAAAAACCCAGATTAAAGAAAACTCAGTAAGTAATTAATTCATTCTTAACTTCTAAATTAAAGAAAATCCAGTAAGTATGTTGCAATGTTCCAGATTTTCTGGGAAAATAGAGAATTGAAAAATGGCTAGACATATTTTGGGAAAAGAAGAGATTGTTTTGTGTATATGGATGTGTCAAGAATTAAAATTAATTGATTTTATAAAGTTATTGGAGGTTGTTGAAAAAGAAAAACTAATATCCACGTTACTAGTGATAATAGTACTGAAGATGGGTTTGTGTTTGTGAGGTTTTTGACCAATAAAAGAATATTTTATTGGTCCTTTGTTCTGGTAGTTGAATTATGACTAATTTTGATGTCAATTTTGATCTTAGTTGTAGTAACTGAACTTGAGTAACTTTTCACCAGACTATGAGGTTCTTTTCATCAATTCCATTCTAGGATCCCAGCACCAAGAAATATGTCGGGAAAGTCAACCAAGGCAGGGGCGGCCACACTGAAGATGAAACCTCCGGAAACGGGGTCCTCTGCAACTCTCAAATATTAGTCTTTAGCTACCCTTTTTAGTCATTTCACAAAACATTAAATTTTTATATATATTATTAAATGTGTAGCTAAGGGCATTTTAGTCATAAATGTGTGAGTAGGACTTATTTGCATAAATATCATAGTTTAGTGGTATTTTTTGCACGTGAGGGGTGGAATATGCATTATAAGCATACTATAAGGGTGTTTTCTGCACTTGACCTTAATTTGAAATTATACTTATCAAGTATTTATTGGGTGTGCATGAATGAAATAGAATACAAGTGGGAATGAGAATAAGAATGGAATTGAATTATCATTCTCATTCTATTATTTGGTTGTAAATATAAAATTTGTAGGAATTGAATGATAATAATCATTCTAGCGTTTGGTTTGACCAATTTAAAATTTAAAATTTTAAAAAAAAAAAAATTTAAAATTTAGAATGAAATAAATTTCAAATTGAATTCTCTAAAATATTCCTCTTAGTAACAAATAATTTAAATTAACAAAATGACATAATCTAATAATTTTTAAAAAATAAATGGTGGCAGTGGCGGTGGTGATGGAGGTGGAAAATGGTAGTGGTGGAGGTGGAAAGTGGTAATGGAAGGCGGCAGTGGTGGCAATGGTGGAAGGTGGCAGTGACGGTGGTGGTGGAAGGTGATGGTAATAGTGTGGTAGTGGTGGTGAAAATAGATAGTGGTGTACGTAGTGGTGGTGGAAGCCAACGGAGGTGACTGTGGTAGAAGGCGGCGGCGAAGGCGGCGGCGGCGAAGGCGGCGGCGGTGGTGGAGGTGGTGACGGTGGTGGTGGTGGTGTTAGTGGTGGTAATGGAAGATAGTGGCGGTGGTGGAAGGCGGTAGCGGCGGCGGCGGTGGTGGCACTGGCAGATCCAAGGGGGGTTTGGGTGTGCTCAAGCCTACCCAAAAATAAATTTTTTATTTTTTTTACTATACCTAATTTTAGCACAACCAAAAAAAATAAAAAAAAATAATAAAAAAATAAAATTATTACTAGTATTAGTCCATCCAAAGAAATATTAGCCCACCCCATTGACAATTCCTGGATCCGCCCTTGAGTGGTGGTGTAAGGCGGTGATGGTGGTGGTGGCAGGAAGACAGTAATGATGGAAGACGGTGGTAGTAGTGGTGTAAGACAGTGACAGTGGTGGCGGCAGGAAGGCAGTGGCGATGGAAGGCAGTGACGATGAAAGGCGGTGGTAGTGGTGGTAAAAGGCGGTGGGGGTGGTGTTGGTGGTGGTGATGGTAAAAGGCGGTGGCGGTGGTGAAAGGCAATGGCGGCGGTGGTGGTGGAATGTGGTGGTGGTAGCAATGGTGAAAGGCAGTGGTGGTGGTGGAAAGCGGTGGACGGTGGTGAAAATCGGTGGCGGTGGTGGAAGGCCCTGGTAGTGGTCAGAGGCGGAGTTAGGATTTTAATTCAGAAGGTGCGTAGAGTAAAAAAATATAAAAAATTATAATTTAAATAAGAAGAAAAAAAAAATTACATACTATGTATATCATTCGTAAGTGCAAAAAGAAGAATGTTAAGAAGTAGGGGGCCAAAAAAATAATAAGAAGAAGAAGGAGAAGAAAAAGGAGAAATTTGAAAGGAAAAAAAAAATTAGAGTTCGAGTAAAGAAGGAAAATTTAACTTTTTTTTTTTAAAGAAAATCAAAGGAATATTAAGTGCAAAAGAAAAAGAAAAAAAAAATTTAGAAGACAATTTTAGAAATTTAAAATTTTAGGTGGGCATTATATAAAAATTTTCTTATAAATGTATATATTAAAATAAAAATTACTATATTTTATAGTGGGCGGAGCCAGACGAGGGGGGGCATGTGCCCCCCTCTGGGCACACACTGGTTCCGCCCCTGGTAGTGGTGGTGGTGGTGAAAGGCTTAGATGATTATAGTGGAAGGTAGTTGTAATTTTTGGATTAGAAACATTAAGATTTTTTAGGAAGTTGATTTTTTTAAAAAATTTACTTGAGAATGAAATGGTCATTTTATAAATTTAGTTGTGGAATAAATTTTCATTCTAATGGAATGGTCAGTTCTACTTTAAATTACATACCAAGTAAATGAATAATTAAAATGAACATTTTATTCTATTTCATTCTTACAAATAAGATGGAGCGTTATAAATTTTGAGTCTTAGAATAGTTTCATAAGATCTCTCCACGTGTAACATAACGTTTTAGTCAATCAACAATCATTGAATGAGAAATGATATTTTTCTTAGATGCATCATTCTTCTGGTTTAATAATGTGTGCTAAGAATCTTCTTCGCTATTTTTTTGGTACTATATGGTGACATACGCCATGTGTATAGACATGGTGACATGGCACCATAAATAATGTCAAATAAAGGATCCAAAGGAAAAAGACTCCGAGAAAATCAATATAATTTCCAAATCGAAGTTCATCGATCTTAGACTGTTATTATATAAATTTGAATAGAAATTAAAAATTCCAATGGATTAAAATTCATCAACATAGCTTTTTGAATAGTAACACTATCCGATAATTACTCATCAAAAGAGAGAGTTAAAGAAAGTTTTTCTTAAATGCATTTAGGTGTGTCGACCCGAAATTGATAAATTCCACTTAAATGCATAAAAAAGAGAGCGTTATTGAGCTCAAATTGGTCCAGCCTTGGGTTCTTTGTTTTTAAAAATAGAATGATATTCCAAGGCTTTTTAACCTCCAAAAAAAGTACACCTTCATTTGGTGGGTCTTGAACTCTCGATGCATGAAGTAGTCTACATGAAAAGTAGCTTAGAATTTAGACATGGAAATATCATGTGTGTTTGTTTGTGATTACATTATAATTTTCTTGCAAGCTAAGAATAATCCAACTAGTGTAGGACATCGAGGAAAAAAAAAAAAAAAAAAACTAGTGTAGGACATAGTATCTGCAAAATAGAGTGATAGACCAATGCGCTCTACATAAGAAGCTTGTATGTTTCCTATAATGTTTATTTTCACTTTTTTATTTTTATTTTTTATTATTATTTTTTTTTATAAAATATAAACAAATAATATTTTTTTATAGAAAATATAAAATAATTTTTAAATTACAAATGCCACACATTACTCCAAAAAATAATATATATATATATATATATATATATATATATATATATATATTTTTTTTTTTTTTAGAAAATATAAAATACTTTTTTATATTTTCTGTTGATGCAAAATTTGCCTAATCCAAAGTCGAGGGTCATTCCTGCAAGACAAGAGAAGTGATGACCGGCGTGGTGCCGGTCGGGTGCACTCCGACGATTGAATATCCGAAAAAGGATAAAATATAAAATTTCTGACATACCTTTTTAAGTTGACGGGTGACTTCTTTAAAATGAAAATATTTTAAAAAATAGAAAAGGACCATTTCAAATATCTATTTATTACAAATAATAGATTATATCATATTTCAGAAAACTCAATTAAAGTAATACTTGAATATCAAGTTAGAAGAGATGAAAGAGCCACATGGAAAGTTCATTTTCTCTTTGCTTGGAACCCAAAAAACGTGGGCACTTAAAAGAGCATAGAGGCTAGCATTAATAATACACAAAGTAGAATAATTGGAGTGACTAACCTCAGTGTACTACTAAATTATAAGCCACCTAATCAATCCACAAGCTATAGACCAAAAGCCAAGCTATAGCAAAGCTCAACAGGTCTCAAACTCGTGATATTATTAGCATATATTTTAAACCCCACAGCATGTAAAAAGGTGCTTTATATGCTTTAATTTTTAGCATTGGAGAGATCACACAGACAGAAACTCCCAATCATTGGTAAAAACAATGACCAAACAACTCCTCCACCTCTGCAGTTTTTGTTAGTTTTCAGTTGTTTGCCAATCTATTCAACCAAAACACCAAACCCTCTCTAAACTACCACCACACACACAAACACAGAGAGGCAACCCAATAAAGAAAATTTGAAATAGAGGAGGAAACATCAATGCCTTCTATACTACTCCATTCAAATAGAGTCCATTGTTGAGACTCCCATTTCATTTCCATCCAAAAATTCAATGGAAGAGTACCAATCCATCCCAATGGAGAGAACAGGCAAGATTCTCAGAAGATCAATCTACACTTTCTTCCAAAATTACCAATTCTTCACCACAACAGCTGCGCTTCTCGCCTTCCCTTTCTCGGCCTCAATTCTCCTCTCCCAAGCTCTTCTTCTCTCCTCTTCTCTCCTTCCAACGATTCACTTCCGCCTGAGCTCTCTCTTCGACGCTGCAGGTTTTCCTCCATCATTGGAATTCTTCACCATCCTCAATCTCAAGCTCTCCCAAACCATTGCTTCCTCCATTATTGTTCTTCCATTCACCCTCTCCTTCCTCCTCTTCGCGAAGGCATCAATAATTCAAGCACTCAATCATCAAAAACCACCTCTTCAGCCTTCTTTTTCTTCCATTCTATCACTTTACAACCCCATCCTTGTCACACAACTCTGCAACTCATTCGTGATAATCTCCGCGAATGCAACTTGTTTTTCTCTCCTATTCTTTGCCTTCAATTCTCTTGATGCTTTCGGATACTCTTCTCCCAATTCCCTCCTCTTCTTGTCAGCTATCGGAGCAGTTCTTTATTCAATAGTCCTTGCAAATACCATCATAATCTGCAACCTAGCATTGGTTTCATCAGGCATGGACAACAAATGTGGAGGGTACCTTGCAATTCTCAAGGCCTGTGTTCTGATCAGAGGAAGAACTGCAACCGCTCTATCACTGACACTGCTTGTCAGTATGGCCTTGGCTGCAGTTGAAGCCCTTTTCCAATACCGGATCATGAGACCTTTTCATCAAGCTGCAAATCCTACTTACTCCATGGCTCTAGAGGGTATGTTCATTGCTTACTTGTACTCCATCCTCATTGTTATCGAAACCATTGTGTGTGTTGTGTTCTTCAAAAGCTGTAAAATGGCTTATTGGGTAGATCAGAAGAGTAGGCACTCTTACCGGATTGATATTGAAGGGGAAGCTGGTCTTGCTTCTGCAAATGTAAAGACCATAGAAGACCTTCCATGAATCTATTTACGACAAATCAAGAAGATCAAACCATTCTGTCAGTCATATCAGGAAAAGGGTATATATATATATATACACACACACACATCAATTCATACAAATAAGCAGCAGGTATGTGCAGATTACTCCGTTGCTCAAGGAAAAGGCTATTCATTGATTCATACAAGCAATTCAGAGTGAAAATGTTCAAATTTGAAGTACATTGACATATAGCTTAAAGAAAATGGATGGAGCAACTTTTCTCAATCCTCTGTTTCATACTTCATTTGGTTCTTTGTTTTTTTGTATATTGGTAGCTTTTTTCTATAATTTGTAAAAGAAATTTCAAGAGGGTATATGTTAAGTTGGGTTTGTAATGAAATTCAATAATGCAAATGACAAGAATGTCAAAACCAAATTATAATGTGACCACAAATTAATAAAACTGAATTTGATCAAGAATATCTAGTTACAAATTCAGCATTGATATAAGAAGTTTTTCAGGAGCCATATAGTGATTCTGTTTCTTACATGAACTCATGGACCAATAATTATGGATCAGAGACATAATTCAATATGAAAAATATAATGCATTTCATTTTTATGCTTTGCTGCTACGCTAATTTTGTTATTTATTTGTAAATCATGTCATATGAGTGTACTACTTACCTACCGAGAGAAAAAGAACGTGTGTTTTACTTTATATAATTTCCGTTAATGTGTCATCCATTTTCTCATTTATCCCTCTATCCGTGGACAGTGACATCCCACATCGTCCTGTTGACAATTATACGTGTTAATGTTTCTTAATCGTATTCACTCGTTTTGAAAACTGTGAGTACTGAGGGGCGTGGAAAGTGAAATTTTTGAATATTGAACTCGAAGAAGAAAAACAGCAATCACATTTGTTTCAATAGGTTGGGACAAAATACATATTATTTGCCACCATCTTCTTCCTGCATCCAGAATTCATATTCTGATTGGATGAACCCAGCATATACTTATTGAAACATTTAGACATTTTAGAAAAGGAAGGACACCCAGCATAGAAAAAAATTAAAAGATCTACACAATTGGGAAAAGAAGAGTCAGTCATTTAGATAGATTGCCAGAACAGTCAATTAGATTGTTTTTGATCTTGAAGAAACTTCGAGTTTGTGCTACTGGGTGCCGCTGAACCCGGCAAAAGTTTGTAACTTAATTGTACGAGTAACTGCACTGCGCATGATTTTGTGTTCTTTCGAGTTTTAGAAATTGTGTGGGATTGTGGATGAACCACTTAAACCGTTTTTGTTGAAGTGAGACTCCGCACAATCGGAACCACATCATTTTCTTGTAACAAAATAGATGAATCTTGACGAAACTGGTGTGGTGTTTGTCAAAAGCTCTTCAAAGATCAGGCCATCATTTTTTTCATACCTGATTGGTTGATCTGGTCCTGCTTTTATGGCTGCGTGGACTTCTAATTTGTAGCTACTCTTGAGAAAAAATTTCAGAAGTTCGAATTTCAATTTAACTTTATCCCTCAAAACTCCTTTTTTAATATTTGTAACGGAGATTGCATTCCAATTACCTTATCCTGTTGTGTTTGGCCTTGACCTGTTGAACTTTCCCTCTATCAGTTTTTATTCTAAAATTTTATTTTTAAATGTGTATGGTAATTAATAAAAAAACTTTTACATAGTAAGAATATTAGTTCATTATAACTTTTGAATGAAGCTAAAAACTTTTAAAACTTCACTATGAGTAGAAGTTCTATATTTTATGCTACTGTTTTTTCACTGCTATTAGATCACCCAATTAAAGGACATAACTGTAAAATCATTCATTAAAGTCAATATCGTTACCAAATAAATAAAAAATTACTCTAATTGTGAAAAATATTTTTAATAATACATCACCAAACCACCTAACATATAAATAACAATGTCAAACACGTCCTTCTTCGTAAGGAATCTAACAAAAGTAAGCAAAAACAAGAATGAAGAGTTTCTCAATCTCAGTTCCACTTGAATGCATCCGAGGTAGAGAAACTCCAATTCAGGACCCACTCCAATTTGGGACCCACTTGAATGCATTAAGGGCCAAGAAACTCCAATTTAGGACTAAGAACCCCATACTGATTGCTTACCAAAAAGCATCTAGCCCTATAGTATACCCTCTCCGTCCTCAAAAGGGAGGGGAGGGGTTTCGAGCCCAAGTGTAGGTTAAAAAGTGCGGGTGTGAGTGTTGCCCTTTTTCCCAGTGAAAAAAATGAACGCTTACGTTCATGCATTCATTGAATCACAGACAAGAGTACGAAACAGACTCAATGCAAGCACAACCGATCGCTTATTTTCGTTCACGCACTAATTGAATAACAAGCAAAGAGTACCAAAGAGACTCAATGCAAGCACAAGAGTACAAGAGACATGGAAAACGTTTGGCATTGAATATTTTAACTAAAGAAGAATCAAATTTAAGAAACAAGTAGTTTCTACATCCACAGCCTATTTTTGATTTATATTACATTTGCACTAAGAGAGCCTGTCTCCTACTTCCTCTACTTATCCTGACTTTCTATACACAATTTCGTGATCAGTGAAAATCACAAAATAACAAAAGAAAAAAAGAAAAAAAAGGAAAAAAACTTGTGTGTCAGTCAAAAAAGAATCAAATTTGAATGTAGGCACAGGGTTAGAGCTTTGTACATGGTTGATGGTACATCGGGGGCTTGTAGTTTACAGTCTCAAGGGCATCTGCTCTGGTGCTGAAATGCCAAATGAATGGCGAAAGCCGATACTACTGCTATCGTGTTGAAGAACTGACCTGACATTACCAAAATTTTCTTCTATAAATGAGGCAACAAAGGGCCAGATCCGCTCCTCTGAAATGCCAAATGATATGGAGAAGTGGAGAACCATCGCTACCAAAAGGACAATAATAACCGCCCCATGTGAAAATCAGATGACTGTGTCATATCTCATGCGGAAAATCAGCTGGCAGCAATCATCGAGTGGTCCAATGGCGGCATTGGGCCCTGCATTTGTAGCTGAGCTATTCAAAGACAATTTAAGGTCTGCAAGCCTCAAGAAGTATCTCCTTCTATTCATCTTGTTGAATCCCCTAAAAATCATGGCATCACACTGTAATATTGGAGGAGGACACTTCTCGTGTATCTTTGAAGCAGTGGAACTTTGTACAACATTCAGTAAACAACACTGCAACAGACCTCTCAGATGGAATACCCAATTCCCATACAGGGGATAACCCAAACAATTTCCTCTATTTCCCACTCTTCTTTGTTAGATTAATTCCCTTTGCCTTCTCCATCTCAACCTCCTTCTGAGCTTTCTTCTTCTCCAATTCAGCCTGTTTGCAGTTCTCATCATGCGCTTTACGGAACATCCGCACGAAGTTTGAGAGGGTTGCAGTAACTGCAAAAGTCATATGGCATTAAAATATGATAAGAAAAGTCAGCATTAGCATTGCCACATAAATAGGACAAAAAGAGCATAAATCACAAAATCTTCGATTCTCCAAGGTATGAATGCGACTTTAAAACATATACAGTGCAAAATGAACTAGCAAGATTTCTAGTAGTATTAAGAAGCCATTTAAGGGTGCCAAGATGACCCATAAAACTGAATAAAATCCATTTGTGTTTCACAAAGTGCTTGTAAAAGTCTGTAGAATGGTATACCACATCACCATATCAATCAAAAATCAAAATATAATTGCTATCTAGCATAGCATTTTTAACAGACTAGAAAGAAAAAAAAGTCGAGACAAAAAGATATTAGAGTAAAAGCCATAAAAAGGGGGTGGAGAAACAAAAACAAAAAAGAGAGAGAAATAGAACCATTTGCAAATACTAAATAAAACACATCAGGAATGCCCCTAGATAAAAAATAAAAAAACACTAGACTTTGGCCTAGATGAATCAAAGATTCCAAGCTTTCAACTAACTGGTAAGCTTTTTATTATTATTATTTTTTTCTATTTCTTCTTTTTCCTTTTTTGTTGATTCTTTTATCTAAATCTAATATTTTGATGTTGTTTGATGCTAGATCTAAAACTTTCTCTGTAGATCTTGCAACAGATCTTCCAATCTACAAAAGTTTCAATTATTTTCAAATTTCTTTCAATGGGTAAGTGACTTACACTCCCATGTTCTCATACATTATTTTCAAAGATAATTTCTGTATCCTAGATTACATAAAAGTTGTGGACAATCTTCGAAAAATTCAGAGTTTTCTATAAAGTTCTGTAAATCGATTTTTTAATTTAATTGTTTGAATTTTATATTTCAGTAATTTAAGAAATAAAATGTATCAATTACTTATACACTATATGATGCATGTTTTATACCTTGTAAATTCTATATACAAATTATTGTACATAATCAATTGCTGGAATATTTTGGAAAATTAAAAAATATATAGAAAACTTAGGAAAATTATGAAGAAAAAAAAAACCAAAAAATTGTTTATTGATTTATAACTTCATACTATAACCATAATTATATAATTAGTGAAAACTATAAATTAGTAATTTTTTACTGCCCGACGGTTGCTTCAAATACAATCTATAGGACCTTACCCACAAATAATCACATTTAAATATTCATAAAAATTCATTAAAGTCATTAAAATCCCATTTTATTAAATTCAAAAGTTAAAAATTTGGTATTCATTAGGACACGTGAGAGGCCAAAATAATTTCACTACTGCTGTTAACAAAACAGCCATTATACCCTACATAAGTTGCACCATGATAGTATCTGCAATTCAAAACCTTAACATACTAGACACATTATTGTGAATCCTCTCCTCCTACCCTGTGTACTTTGATAGAACCTTCATATGCCATAAAAGAATTTGAGCTTTTCAATAAATTTAGTATAAACCTTTGATATGAATTCTTTTCTTTACAATTATAATTCTTCTACGCTTTAAAAAAAAAAAAAAAAAAAAAGGTCCAATCTAAAACCTCAACGTTTTTTGGTATCCGCCACACGTCGTGTTGGAGACATAACAGGAAGTGTCCAAAAAGTGTCAGTGTTTGACATGCATGTAAAACGAGGATGTACCCTTTTGAGAAATATCTATGCTTCTTAGATTTTTGCAACATATATTTCTAAACTTGGACCCCTTATTTTAGCATCTCATCCAACCTCTAGAGTTTTCAATTTAACCCAGCATAAATTTTTTTAGTAGTAAAAATCCCATAAAATTAGAATGATCCATGGACAGGACCTTCAATTAACACCCCTTTCCTTCCTATTGAACAATGAGGACTCCATCCCTCACATTTTTTAGTCCCCCCATTTTTTTCATCCAGTTCTTTCCTCCTATCAAATGTTTCATTAAAGTTATCACTTTTTATATTAGTACCTATTGCAATATCACAACATATCAAGTGACAATGAACATTACTGATAAAGAGTTGGGTCAAGGCTCATTAATACCAAGCCAAGATCAACACTTGGTGGTAATTAAAGGTGTAGAAGGTTTACTAATTTGGTGGATTTGATTGTCCTTTTTTTTTTTTTTTGGTGTATGAGGGGAAGGGGGCTAGAGGTTCAGGCAATGATATTGTCTCCAGAAATGTTGATTAGGGAAAATTTAATATACAGAACAATGAGGTCATCCAGAATTGACAGGGTCAAGCCACTTCAGTGCTTTCGACTCCATTTTTGGTGTATAGAGGTTTGTATTCATTTATGCAACAGCCATCATGGTGAGTTACAATATTGAGTCATGTATTAGAAATTCCTACGAGTTGAACACAAAATCTTGAGTCATTTTGTCTACAACCAAAGACGACATCGAAATTATTAAATTAATAAGATTAAGCACATCGAAGAACATGCTGAAAATTTATCAGCTCAATCACATATTTAGCGTAAGGTAATATGAGACCTTAGTGACATAAGAATCTAGGTTGAATCAATGAATTAGATAGTTAGACCTCCCATGACTTAGGTTTGATCAATAGAACGCTCAAAATAATGTTTAAACGAGTTCTTCAAAGTTAATCAAACTTTTTGATGGAACGATTGAATGTTTTTGAAAAAGAATTTTATTCTATGTTAGAGAGCAACAATTGATACAAGGACCAATCAAATGTCACTCAAACAGGTTCTAAAAAGCTAGGATCAATTGAAGTTAGGCAAGCTTATTGGTCGATGTTCACTTGAATGAGCTCGATCGGTCCATTGAATGTGCCTGTACAGTTTTGGAAAGCTATAAATTTTAAAATTTAATTGGTTTCACCTTCCTATTTCATAGGACTATACGCTTGGGGGGGTGGGGGTTATTATGGGTAGTAGTCTAACCATCAAAGTGAGAGTTTATACATTTTACAAAGAGAAATGTTACAATTGTCCAGGTCCACACCCAAACTGACCAGTCACTTGTGAAATTTCCCGCACACATCTACATGTTCGTGACCCTTGTGTCCTCGCAAGGAGGACACACACCACCGTGTGAGACACACGCAATAGTTTCCTTAACCTGCATTTTGGTATTCTCAGGTTGGTTCTAAAACACTCACAATGGGCCAGTTCCACACCCAAAAGTACTACTCAGTTGTGGGGTTCTCCACACTCATTTATTGACCCTAAGATTCCATACAAAACGAAGGCAGGACAGAGCACATCTGCGTGTCCATGACAAGCTCCCTCAGCCAGACCCTTGCGTCCTCACAAGGGGGACCCACACCTCCAGGTGGGACCTGAAAAATAGTTCCCCCGACCCACATTATAGTATCCCTGAGTTGGCTATGATACGATTGCCACAATGGACCCATTCCACACCTAAAAGGACCAGTCAATTGTGGAATTTCCCGTACTCATTTATTAGTCCCAATATCATCCAATACCTAAAGGAGGTGAGATAGAACACATCTACGCATCCATTATAAAAAGCTTTGAATATCAACCTAGGGTTTTCATAGTACACAAAACTCTATGTGATTGGAGAATCAAAGTGAGGAGCAAATTAGAAAATCATCAAGCAATCATCAATCAGGTGTTTTTGTCAAGATCAAACAATTGAAGAACCATAGATAGCAGACTTGTGGGTGACCAAGTTTGATGATGATCAGCACCAGAGTCCAAAATTCTGGTGTGAGCCTGGAATAGACTACTTCATGTCTCCGTGTATATGATTAAGGCACTGGATAACTAAATCAAACTAAAATTTGGACAAATTTAAACATAAATTTGAAAAGTTAGTTATTTATTGTTAGTATCCATAGGACCTATTCACCTATCCTTATGTTCGATTTGAAGCAATCTTATTCTTAACGTATCAAATTCTAGGGTCCGGTCCACTTTACTCCACAATAATATCTTGAGGATGCAAATTAGCACAACCAAGTTGATTGGGGGAAACAACTTTAAAGATAATATTTGCAAAATGATAGCCGATATTGTGGCGACCTCGTGGTGGGCGCGAGGCACTGGCAAGCTACTGGTGCACGATCCCGTATCGCCTGGGTGTGGAAAGGGGACGTGCTATATGTAGGATTGGTACACTCCAAATGACATGAGGCCTTGTAGGGTAAAACCTAAGAGCAAAACCGTGTGGCCTCGTGCCCAAAGCAGACAATATCATAACACGTGGGGGAGTAGGCCATTACAAATGGTATCAGAGCCTAACCCAACCGGAAGTGTGGCCAATGAGGACGTTGGCCCCTGGGGGCACGGGGGGGGGGGGGGGGGGGGGGGGGTTGTGATTGTGGCAACCTTGTGGGCGGATGCGAGGCATTGGTAGGCTACAGGTGCATGGTCCCACTTCGCCTGTGTGTGGAAAGAAAGTGTTATATATGTAGGATTGGTACACACCAAATAGTACGAGGCCTTTTGAGGTAAAACCCAAGAGCAAAACAATGCAGGCTCAAGCCCAAAGCGGACAATATCATACCATGTGATGGAGTGGGTCATTATAGATATTTAAGCCAATATTTGAAAAGTAGGGAACTCAAAGTTGTTTGAGAATGGTAAAGGGTCCTTCTATATGAAGGAAAGAGAATTTTAAACCCAATAGCTTAGACAAATCCCAAAGATTTAACTTTGCGAGTATGTTATCGCAGAGGCAAAATAGTTTCACTCTGGCTGGGGGATAAGGCTTTGGCCACTTATGTTGTTGAGTCGAAAAGGGCAAGTGGAGTAACTAGCTCAAAATGAGGATTAGAAGCTTGAGTTTCCATCTTTTGCTAGGTAGAAGACCTAACTTCTTCGTTACCTTATCCCCATCTCTCCTTCATTTTGGCTGATTGTTTTTTATAAATTGCATTATAATTCAAATTGTTTCTCTATCTGTAACTATACATGCAAATAATGACCAAATAAGGTCAAGGAACAGGGATAGTGATGTAACCCATTATCTGGGTAACCCACCACATATCTCTCCTACTGGGATGTATATGATCCACGTTAAATAGGGTAGGGGTGCCAATGGGGCGAAAAACTACCTTCAACCCATCTGGGAAGGATCCGAGTTTTGGTCAGTCCCATCCTATCCAAGCCCGATACAATGATAAATAATTAAGTTTTTTGCCACTGAATTTCCCATAAAAAGTTGATAACAGAGAGGCATCTAGTAGAATCAAAATTTATATGCTGGGCTGTGTTTAGTCAATCCAAGAATTATTTGGTGCAAGAGGCAATTCGTTCGGTAAACCATTACTTTTCCTTTTTTTATCAATCAGGGATGTGGAAAGCCTCAGCTAACAATAGAATACAACAGCAAAAGCTCTTGGTCAGACAGATCCCACAGGATTTGCTTACATAAATGAATAAAATATAGGCTCAATAAGCCTCTACAAAAGGACTCATCGTTCATTCTTAAATTTTACATGTTCACAAAGTCAGCACTGCCGGCTACCTTTGGGCCACATATATAGCTTCACAATGTATAAACTAATTAGGGTTACATATAAGGCAAGCTGTTTATGAACAGCTTAGACTCGGCTCCTTAAAGGCACGCTCAGGCTCATTATATTAAGAAAACGAACTGAATTTGAGCTCAATTTTTGAGCTGGTTTAATAAATGAGCTGAGCCTGAACAATGCTAGATACGGTTCGTTTAGTCTCATGAATAGCCTCTTATACTCATGGCTCACAGTAGGTCTTATTTTGATATAAGATTAACCCATACAAAATAATAAATTCTTAATTCAAGCCCACATATGCCACACAAATAAGGCTCATAATCCTCCCTTTCTCATCCACTGCACACATCCCCTCTCATCTCTCGTTTCTTTGGTCACCGATGACAGCCTTACCCCTTAGCCTATGAAGCATGGATATGAACACGAACACAAAATATGAACAAGACACCATACGAATACAACGACACGACAAATCCTTAAAAAATAGGATACAAACAAGGCAATGACATGTCAATATATATAATTGTAATATTGCAGGTGCATATAGAAATTGGAACTATATATAAATTTAGCATAATAATTGTTTGTCAAGTTATATATATTATTACCAACATTTCCTAATAAAAAAATTATAACAAACAAGTTGACGTGGCCAAAATATCTCAGAATTATTGGATAAGTGTGAGAAATAAATAAAAAAATAAATTATTTTCAAATTTTGGATATGAGGAAGTACTAGAAACGTATGCGCTACTTCAAACAGTGTTGACATCTGACACAAACACAAAACTGGTATGTCCCACTAATAGATTTGTCCGTGCTTCATAGCCCTTAAACTTTTCATCTCGTATTTCTCTGCTATAATCGATGAAAGCCTCCCCAACTCTTGGAATCTTTGTGTGTGAGGAGGTCGATGGAAATATAATTAGTATTTTTGTATGTGAGGAGACGGATGGACGATCTTGACGGAGACAGAATGAGACGATTTTCTCTTAGTTCTAGATATTAATACATTTAATATATATCTGTAATTATATATATGGATTTGTTTGTATATAAAACACACATGAATCTGCTTTTCATATACATACATATATATGTAGATTTGAGTTTAAATAATATTTGTACGACATATATGAACTTGTGTAAAGTATATATATCTAATATTGAGATTGTAAATGTGTATGGGAAAAAGAGCTTGACCTAAGACCAAGAGCATGAACTTAGCTAGGTCAAGCTTGTCCGAACACGAGCCTAACTAGGCCAAGCTCATCCAAACACGAGCCAAGCTCGAGCACCTTTTTGGCTTTGGTGACCCGAGCCTGAACATGCCAAAGCTTAGCTTAGCTAGTTCTTTTGCATCCCTAAACCCAATGAAGCCATACCTTAATCCCCAGCCCTGCCACCAACACATTTTTTGGACTAGCTGGAAACAAAATTCCTTCTCTAAACGGTTCTGCCTATTGGTAAGGAAGGAAGTACTTGAACATCATCACAGGACATCTAAGTGGCTAAGATAAGAACCCAGTATAATTTAACTAAAAAAAGTGATGAAGGACGGAATGATGTGTATTTCATACTTACCTTGTTCAAATGGGCAACGGGCAGGGTCCTCGCCAAAATATAGGGCTAGAGCATCTGCATTTCTACCCTGTTCGCCAACAAAATATACTAATAAGAGACTAATATATATATATATATATCATAGACATCTAACCCTCCTAGACCTTGCAATGGCGGGAGCCTCGTGCACTGGGCTAGCTCTTTATATATGTATTACACGTGTGTGTGTGTGTGTGTGTGAGAGAGAGAGAGAGAGAGAGATGGTTGATGTAGAAAATTACCACCACAGAGTACAAATTTGTTACAGAGGCCACCTCTGTCTCAGCAACACCAACGAATTCCTTCAACGTCTAAATAGGAAAAGAATAATATTATAAGGACAGTAAAGTAACTGCAAGCAAATTTTTTAGGAATATGTTTAAAAACTTTCATTAGCTCTATACTGAAGAAGTTTTTTATTCTAAATTACGTGAGTACCACATGATTATGGAAGAAGGGCTCTGGTGGGTATAGTTCACTTCATGTAATTCTTCCACAATTTGAAGAATTGATTTCAAAATAAAATTAGAAATCTTGTTTTTAGTGACAATTAAGAGAATGCAGAAAACAATGTATTGCTGTGGAATGAAAAACTAACAAAAGATTTCCGAATACCTTACGAAAAATTTCAGATACAGGGCCATCATTTTCTGATCCAACCAACTCCTGCTTTACCTTTTCCAATCCCTTGATAATAGCTTGCATTTCTTCTGCCAAAGACTTCAATTGTATCTGTAAGGAAGAACCGAATTGAAACAATTCAACCATAAACTCACCACAATACATGGGAATAACATTGAAAAACAGTATAGAATATGGACCTTTGTTGCAGCTTCCAGACTAACAAGATCCTCATGGAAGTCTAAAAGAGTTGGTGCCTTCGAGGCAAGGACCTGAAGCAAGAGAAACACCAGTACTGAGACTAAACATAGTCCACAAGTTACTATGTATGTTCAATAGATCTAAGTGAAGGAGGGGGGGATGGAAAATATCAGGCACTAAACAGAGAAATGTGTCTAAACCTGAAAAATCTCTAAAACAACTACAAATTTGATAATGGATAAATAAGCGTACAAATTATGCACCCAAAAACATATACGTATGAAATGCTAAGAACACATTTACTTTGCAAGTAGTCAAGGCCCAATCATCGCCTCTTCACTGAACAAAATCGCACCAAAAACAGTAGATTCAGCAAAACATAATTGCTTAAGTTTCTTTATCCGGTCCATGGCAAATGCCGAAACTTTCAGTTAAACCCATGTCCACATCCCGGGGAAAAAGAAGAAGGAGCATTTCCCTCATTATTATAAAACATATATACACACTGCAGTAATGCAGGTAATAATTAAAGGGTAAAGTGCCAAAAAGAAAAAAAGCCCTGTTATATACAAAATACTCCCATTGTTAAAAAAAAAAAAAAAAAAACCTACATTTTCCAAATTGAGCAAATAAGGACATTTTGTCATTTTGAAGACTGAAATACCTAAAATGCCCTTAAGACAATAAAAAAATAAAAAAACTGATTTTATAAAACAATCATAATTAAGGGTATTTTGGGGTTTTAATAATTTTGGTCAAAATTGATGATCCCCAATTTGCACATATTTTCAAATGTTAGGGAAAATAGCGGGGGAGTTTTTTGCACATTTTTTTATTTAGCATGGGGATTTTTTTGCACTAAACCATAATTAAAAGCTAAACCCCTACCATTTTTATACATAAACAGAAATCAGGCCATATCTTTGATTGCTAAGGAGCAGATGTTTTAGATACTACAGAGTAAACATCCCCTCTTTAAAGAAAATGCCAAATTCAACACAGGTCAAACAATGGTAGACTTTTGAAGTCCAAGGCTTGACTTTGACAAAATAAGCAGGAGTTACTTGAATGAACACAATGATGACATGAACATATGGATCTGGAAAACACAGCCCACCAGTTCTGATGTTGATACAAAAGGTCGCATACTAAATTGATATTCAACTGACACAGAATACAAATAAATTTTTAGATGTTGGTTTATCGCTTGGTCAGCCCAGAAATGAAGACAATGCAAAAAAATAAATAAAATAACGTATGGAGAAAGTGTAAAAAGATGGGATTGCGTGGAAATTCTTGAAAATTGAAAAAAAAAAAAAAAAAAAATCAAATGCGACATAATGATGATTACATTTGAGAAACTACATTAAAAGCCACCTAGTGTAAAATCAAGAACTTCTCAGCTTGATTCCAGCCCAGTTTCTTGTTGCATTGTGATGGTGTTAGCCATCTTGCTCTCTTGTTTCAGCTTAACAGAATCAAGGCCATTATGCAACAGGTGGCAGATCAACTATGTTTTTGACATGTGGAAGTGAAGACATTTTTGCAGACCCACAGAAGTCAGAACAGTTCCAAATTCAAGATATATAGTAGAATAATCGATTGTATGAATGTTTATTAAGAAAAAATATAGCTTTCAATTCTGTAAGCTTACAGTATCAACACTGAATAAATAAATTTCTGTCACACCAGAAAGATCTGAATGCATATCATGAAAAAGATAAAAAAAAATAAGATAGCCATACCTTGCAAAGATAATGCATAAGTGTCATCTTGCTATTGGAAGCACGTGTATCAGTGAGTTTTAGAAGACTGTCCAACTTAAATCCGACTGCAGAACCTGTAAAACGTTGAAATTTTCAATACAATAACTTAAATAATTGACATAACATTATCATATGCCACATGTACTAGTACAACTAAATCATTTCTGCTATTTTTAGTATTTTACCATACATGAAATGTATCCCGTGATATGACAAAATTATAAAGCAACTAGATATATAAAGGGTAAAGGGCAAACCTAGTGCACGAGGCTCACACCATTGCGGGGTTTGGGGAGGATTAGATGTACACAGCCTTACCTCCGCATGCGGAGAGGCTGTTTCTTGTTTAAACCCATGACCTCCGGGTCACAATGGAGCAACCTTACCATTCCGCATTAGGTTACAGAATATATTAAGATAGGATGCCTCCATCACACGATACAATGCATGTCTAAGATACAAGCACATTGCACAAATATTTGGCCAGCCATAGGTCTGTTCAATTGGCCCAACAAAACAATATGCTTCTTTATATATGATTTTAGGGTTATGGTAAATAATTTATTTCACTCTTCAGACTTCGTGACTTGGGAATTTTTCCTCTTTCACATGGATAAGAATTCCTCTCTCAACGAAGCTCCAATATCACTACCTCCATTTTCACGTGTTACAACTTTAATTAAAGAATGCGAGCTATTAAATGTAAGTTTTACAGGATTAGGAGCTCTTTGTAGTCTGGTCATTATAGCGAGTATTATTTGTTTCCAATTTCTAGAGTCTCTTTCTTTTTTCTCCTTTTGGCTTTTCTTAATGTGTCGGTCGAGATTGGTTGAAACTTGGAAAACGAAACTTTATTTTGATGAAATAAATATTTTTATAAAACAAGTTTACTACTCTTCTCCTCATTCTTTAAGCCTTGGAAATTAGTGAATTCATGTCTATCAACTTGCCTCATGTTTTTTCATGAAATATTATGAAGTCCTTAAAGCCTCAATCTTGGAATGTATAGGTGTTTTGAGTATGCATTTTTAATTTTCTTGCTAATCCTGGAGTTAAAGAACTTACAATTTGCAATGTGATTTGATATACAATAAAAGAGAATGGGGGAAACAACAAGATTCAATACATGATTTTACAGCCATAATCACTTCTTTTAAAGCAGGTCTAAAAGTTTTGAATGAATCGGAGTTAACTGGTAGTACTATAACAAGATGTGTAAAGTGTGAAAAACAGCATTGGACTAAGCTTCACATGGGAACAAGTGTTCACTAAATCAAGGATGCAAATGTCTTCCTCTTATAATGGCCAGCAGAAATACTCTCCTAACAATGAATCCATAAACACATTCTTGAAAGGCAACTTTTTGAGTACAAAAGCAGTCCTCTGAACATGATTACATGAACATCATATATTCCCTTAAACATTCATTAACCATCTACTATAGTTGAAGAGAACAATGAAAATTTCTGAATTCAAACCATATATCCAGGTGTAGCTTACAAATCATTAATAACAAAGAACACAGAATTGTATTCACTTTAGAACTATGTCACATATATTTGAAAGGAATCTCTCATTCTTTCTAATCCAGTGCTACTTGGAAACTTGAATAAGAATTTAGAAGCAGTAGTTTCCTTTGAATTTAGAAGCAGTAGTTTCCTTTTTTGGGACCAAGGAAAATTAACATTGTTGGAAAGGAGAATATTCGGCTGAGATTTATTGCTGATCTCTAGGGATTGCCTAGATGTATTTTATGATTAAATATAGGCCTAGTCAACTCTGTAAATAAAGAAAATTAGTTGTATAGTTATTCTGTTCCTTTTTTAATGCCTTGTATAGCCTATAAGTAGTGTACGTGTATATCATTCTCAGTATCAATGAAATACCATTTCACTAAAACAATTCTCTCCTAATTCCTTGTTGTTTAGATGGTATCAGAGTAGGAACTTTATTTCTGATTCTTTTCTGCATTCCGGAAAAAATTACCAGGACTTGTTCCTTGGTAAACTCCACGTTTTTTTTCTTTTTCCTCTCAAATCGAAACCTTAGCTTCTCATGATGTCTGAAGTCTCATCTGAAGTCTTTTCTAAGCTTACTGAAAACCGTGGTCGCAATTCTGATTTGCACTTTGTTCAGATAACCACTATACGTCTCAATGGAGACAATTTTCTGCATTGGTCTCAATCAGTACATATGTATATTCGAGGGAGAGGAAAGATTGGGTACCTGACTGGTGATACAAAGGCACCTGATTCGAAGGATATGACTTATGCCACTTGGGATGCAGAAAATTTCATGGTTATGGCCTGGCTTGTTAATTCCTTGGATGAAGACATCGCCTCTAACTATATGCGCTATCCGACTGCCAAGGAACTCTGGGATAATATTCACCAGATGTATTCTGACCTCGACAATCAATCCCAAGTGTACGAACTGCAACTACAGCTCGGAGAAATTCGACAAGGGGGAGACAACGTCACCAAATACTTCAATATGTTGAAAAGGCTGTGGCAGGATCTGGATATTTTCAATGACTATGAATGGAAATCTCCAGATGATTGCAATCACCACAAGAAGATGGTGGAAAACGATCGCATCTACACATTTCTCGCTGGCCTGAACGTAGAATTTGATGAACGGGAAGGATCATTGGTCGTGGTCCTCTTCCTTCACTTAGAGAGGTATTTGCTGAAGTTTGGAGGAAGGAAAGCCGCCGTAGTGTTATGCTCGGAAAAAAGGGGGCTAGGGCATCAATTGAAAATTCTGCCCTAGTCGCTGCTGATGCAAATGCGAACAGAACTTCCAATAGCCAGCGCAGAGCCGAGGACAAGCCTCGGATATGGTGTGATTTCTGCAACAAACCCGGCAATACACGTGAGACATGCTGGAAGATTCATGGCAAACCCGCCAACTGGAAGACCAGCAAGCCTGGAGACCGATCTGCTCATGCAAATGAGGTTGATGTTGGTCCCTTCAGCAAAGAGTAGATGGATCATCTTTTGAAGCTGCTGAAATCCAATCCAGAGTCTGGTATTCCTTACGTTTCTCTAGCTCAAACAGGTAGCAACTCTAGTGCTCTCTTGTCATTCTAGTCCTACACCTCGGATCATTGATTCAGGTGCTTCTGATCACATGACAAATCTCTCTCATGTATTTCATTCTTATTCGCCTTGTTCTGGTAATAAAAAAGTTAGAATTGCAGATGGAAAATTTTCATCTATATTGCAGGAAAAGGCTCTATCAAAATTTCTGAAAAAATCACCCTAAAATTTGTTCTTCATGTCCCTAATCTTGCCTGTAATCTCTTATCTGTGAGTCAACTCTCTAAAGATTCTAATTCTAAAACGGGCATCTTCGTGTCTCAACGAAAATATGTGTTGGATCTTCTTGGAGAGACAGGTCTACTCAGTTGCAAGGCAGCGGAGACACCAATTGAACCTAATTTGAAGCTCCAATATGCTAAACCCGAAGATGTGAAAAACAAGGAACAATTTCAGAGGCTGGTTGGTAGACTGATTTATCTGTCGCATATTCGCCCTGATATAGCTTTTGCAGTGAGCATGGTAAGTCAATTTATGCACTCACCAGGTCCAGAACACTTCGAGGCTGTGTACAGAATCCTAAGGTACTTAAAGGGATCACCAGGGAAGGGTCTGCTGTTTAAAAAGCACGGTCACCTACAAATTGAAGTATATACAGACACAGACTGCGCTGGGAGTATAACCGATAGAAGGTCAACCTCTGGCTACTGTACTTTGGTTGGAGGAAACCTTGTTACTTGGCGTAGTAAAAAGCAAAATGTGGTGGCAAGAAGCAGTGCTAAAGCCGAATTTAGATCAGTTGCCCATGGAATTTGTGAGGTGTTGTGGGTTAAGGTCCCTCTCCGATAAAGGCATACTGTGATAACAAAGCAGCAATCTCAATAGCACATAATCCTATTCTTCATGACAGAACCAAGCATGTTGAGGTAGACAAGCATTTCATCAAGGAGAAAATAGAGAACTGGCAGATTTGTATGACGTAGATACCAACTGATGAACAGATTGGATGTACTTACAAAGGGTCTGTCCAAGAAACAATTTGAGAAATTGATGGGCAAGCTGGATATGGAAGATATCTTCAAACCAGTTTGAGGGGGAGTGTTGGAAAGGAGAATATTCGGCTGAGATTTATTGTTGATCTCTAGGGATTGCCTAGCTGTATTTTATGTTTAAATATAGACCTAGTCAACTCTGTAAATAAGGAAAATTAGTTGTATAGTTATTCTGTTCCTTTTTTAATGCCTTGTATAGCCTATAAGTAGTGTACGTGTATATCATTCTTAGTATCAATGAAATACCATTTCACTAACACAATTCTCTCCTAATTCTCTGTTGTTTAGAAACATGCATTCTTCTTCAGAGATATCTGGATCACATGTTCGTTTTGTTAGCAATTTAAAATGCTCATTAATGCTGTTCATGCAGGTGTAAGTTTAATCTCAATCATATTACCACAAGAAATGATTAAATCAAACATGATCCCCAATCAAGAACAAATACTTGAGAACCTCATAATCTAAATTGTACTAAGTAATTTCAGCAGTACTCATAGGTAAGGACTCACTAGCAAATCATTTATCCCTTAATCTTATTCTTCTCCTATCCTTGATCTTTGATAAGAAACTGACGATTTAGAAGATCAGAAGAACTAGGATGTGCATAACAAGATAAATGAATCTCGATTAGATAAAGACAGAATAAGAATTTCCATTTTGCTGAGATGTTTTAGGTAAAAGAATATCATTAAAAAGCACCAACAAGAGCTTCTGAATCACTATCAAAGGTTCTTACCCCTTGCAGTTCCTTGATTTAATGTATTTCCCAGATATAAAATTTTCTTCATAATTTCCTTCAATTTGAGGGAATTCCGAACCTAATAAATCAAGAAAAAACTATATTAGTTTAAAACGAGGATAAGCCAACTGCATAAAAGGCTCCATCTTAATTACTTGATACCTCTTCACATGCAGAGTTTACAGTGTTCAAACTCTTTTTAAAATCTGATGTCTGCAATAGAGGTCAGAAATTAGACAACGGAAGCAACATTCTAGCTTAAGGAATTCGAGAGTACCAAAGTCACATGAAGTAGATACCCAACCTGGGTATTAAACTGAATTTTGAAAAGAAAAACTCTTAATTTAGACTCCACACGAGGCACCTTCATCAGCTCCAAAAAGAACTGCACGACAAAAGTCCAACAATAAGGATTAGTAACATGAATCTTAAATTTTAGAAAATAAAATTGATTGTAACCATGGTTACATAAATATTCAATAAACTTAATGAACTATAGTTGCCAACAACAGCAATGCCTCCAAACAACTAATTTGTATTTGGAACATGTGAAAAATTCCATTAAAACACCCCACTTCATAACTTCAATCAGACCTAAACAACTCATCCCCAATCTTCTTCACCCTTCGCCTTGCCATTTCAAAGCATTCATCTTGCCTAGCACCACTTCCACCGTCCTGGCCTTTGTTCGACATGCCCAAAGCTTCACATTTGACACTATACATTTTTCAACACCTTTGAAGCTTACACCTAACCTCCCAAAAATACAAACCCTACTTGTGCCACTCATTTGTAACATCACTCTAGCCCAACAATAGCATGCAATCTAGAAATATAAGAGGACACATGCTGAGTAGGAACAGCAATAGGCACACGCTGGGCAGTTCTTGGGAGAGGGAACCCTCCCCAACATGTCTCTACAGAAAAAGAAACCCAAACCCATCCTGAACTCTATACAGGGGGGTTCAGGACAGGATAGCAGATATACTCAGGGCAGGGTGGATTCCAGTCTGATCACAGGCTCCTAATAAACTTTTAACAGTTGCCAGTTAACAAATAGCAGCTAGCTACTAAATAGATGTAACTGCTTGTAGGATTTGGAAACCTATGCTTTAAAATTGATGTGCTACTGATGGCGGCCAAATGCTTTTATAGAGGGAGAACTGATGACAAAGGTTTTGTACCTCAGTCCAAAAATTTGCTTTGTGAAACAGCAGCATCTAATTTGTATTTAGTCCACTTCATCCATGAAACAGTGTCATCTTCATTGAATAACAGCAAATTGCAAAACAACATTGTTTTGAACAATATGATATGAAAAACTATGCCCCCGCACGGTTTTGCCTAGCAGACATAGAGATACTTTATATGAACTGTACATTGGCGGACAAAATTGTATATTAAGCCTGGTAACTGGGACGTTGTGGGGCATTCTGTCTTTTCTGACACCAATCAAAAAGTTAAAAAATTTCTCCAATTCCCCCCGACCCCAATTTCAGACGTCCTATGCCCAACTGGGGCATCCCTAGAGATTCAGATATTCAAAGAACTCAAATTTACAAGCACTATCATAATCAACAAACGAGAAGTTACACGATCAGCTTTACAAACCTGTTCACACTTCCCCAGTTTCTCCTTGTCACCAGTGTAACCCTAAACGGTCATAATAAAAAAATATCAATTAAAAAAATAAGGGAAAATTAGAAGTAAGAAAGTATTAGACCAGATGCACACATAACAAAACCTGCTCAAATGAAAAAGAAACTAGTCATGGATAACAGAATATTAAAGAGAATGTCGCTTTATATTAGAGCTTCACCTTAAGAAGTTCCATCTCTTCTTTAGTAGGACAAAATTTTATAAGATTTTCAACTTGATCAGCATCTAAAATTGACCCATCCATAGCTAGTGCCGCAGCCTGTTGAATTCAAGCAAATTACTCTTATTCAATTTATTTCGTAAGGAAATAATCGTAATATTAAAGACCAATAACAACAGCAGAGTTGACAAATCATGTATCCTATTGAGTACTAAAACTACACTTTTTTATCATGTATCATAACGTATAATTATCTGCAGAAATAGTAGGGCTTTTAGAATAAGTAAAAAGTAGATGAAAAGGTATATCTAACACCTACAAAATATAAATTCATACCAATAATTGCCATTTACCCTGCAAATTAAGGGCTAAACATTCATCCCCTCATAGATAAAATTGAAACTCAGGATTTAAGTAAAAATGTTTTGATTGAATGAATAAATTATTATCCTTTATTGGTTCCACATAAGCTTGATGCTGGAAGGGATAATAACTTTTAGAATTATTTTGCACAACATGGCTGCTCGGAGACTAAACCCACATTCTCACACTGCTACCCCAAGCTTTTTACCATTGCACCAAACAACGGCCGTTGCAAAATTTGATAAATATTTTATAGTTACCGTAGAATCGTCAAAGCTATTAAAATTTCAAATTCTAACTTAAATAAGGGGGGGAGATAAGGTAACTGTGCCAATTTCAACAATGTACTTATATTCTTTTTAAAATATTCTCTTATCTTGAGTTTTTTCATGTGGACCTTTTAGGTTCCCAGTTTCAACTTAGTAATTTTAAAATTTTACGATTTGTACGTTGTAGGTAAAATTTCCTTGTTGCTTCAAACACTGAAGGGAGGTATATTAATTAGGCTTCCTCTAAATTCTAAGCATTCGTAAGAATATTCTTATGTTATAGGAAGAAAAATAGAGTCACTAGCATTTTTATTGATCTAAAGATGTTTATGAAATATTTTTTTAGATAAAAGGTTAAATTAATTTGTAATATATATATATTTTTTTGATAAGTAAAAAGTATATTAGAAAAGCGTTCAAAAGGGGAACGCGTCCCTAATACAAAAATGAAAAAAGGATCTAAGGACCAATAGCATCCAAGAGATCAAGAAAGTCATCAATCGAGGAGCAGGCGCTTCCTCTTACATAATAGAAAAGAGAACGAAAAATATGAATTTTTAGATTTGCTAAAGACGATTCCTTTCCCTCAAAATTTCTGTTATTCCTCTCTCGCCAAAGGCACCACCAAACGCAATGTGGAACAATCCTCCAATAATCACGAGCATGACCTTTAACTGGGCATCATCTCCATGCGTTAATCAGTTGTAAGGAGTGCTTAGGCATAACCCAATAAACGCCAAACATGCTAAATATGAAATTCCAACAATCGTACGCCACAGGACAGTGCATAAGAATGTATCATTTCCATGAAATCATAAATCATACGTTGTACCATATTAGGGATAGAATTGTTTCATATTGTTGAAGGATTTAAATATTTAAGTTACACCCTCTCTAACAGCTTAAGCTTTTGGAGTAGATAGTTGTTAACACGTATCATATTTATAATTTCGCAATGCACTAATAACTAATGTGAAATAGTACAAGTTACTACTCAATGTGTCTATTTAGGCCACAAAGTAGTACAACTTTAGAAAGTTCCCTTCTCTAAAGGTAACCTAAGACAAATAAGACTAATGCTTTGTCCGGTAGGAAGGAAGAAAATTGGACGGAACCATTCCTAGGGAAGAGATTGTGTCCTTCCCTCTTTTTGTTTGGTTGGATGGAAGAGAAGAGAAGAAACTCACAACTTACTTTGTTTGTTAGGACGTAAGGGAAGAGAAAGTTTTAAATTATTTTTACCATTATATCCATCACTTTGTTTGCGGGGTTTATCTAATATTTATGCAGGATAGTATTGTAATTTAAAACTTTTATAATAGCCCCATTTGTCTTCCCTACTCTCTTCCATCTATATTTGGAGGGATAAAAATTTGTGGAGGAGGAAGAATGATCATCCTAAAATTTGTGAAGGAGGAAGAATGATCATCCTATTATCCTTTCTCACTCCTTATCTCCTCTCCACCAAATGAAGGAAGTTTGTTCATTCGTTCCTATCTTCTTCCCTCTTCCTTCCTTCCTACCGAACTAAGCATAAGAAAAACATTATTTTATGACAAACATTTTGTATTATATTTCACTTTTAAAAAACGTTATGGCTTAGATAGAGGGAATGGAAGAACAAGATTTATGTAACCAACCGCAAGTAGTTGGGAGTTGGTACAAATGCTTTCTTGAGTTGAGAATTAACTAATTTACCATGTTCATATAAATAAATGTGCAAGTCAAGTTGATAGTAGTGGGATTACGTGGGACGTGCAATTTCGACGCTCTTTTTAGGATTGGGAGGTGGATGAGGTATGTGTTTTTCTGGATCTGTTGTATCGACAGGAGACAGTTGGCAGAGGTTGTGATGATATGACATGGATCCCCTCTTCCCATGGTCGCTTCGAAGTTCGATCCTTATTCTTATGTCTTTCTGATTTTAATATTGTTGATTTTCCGTGGAAGACTATCTGGCGCTCTATGGCTCCAACTAGGGTGGCATTCTTTGTTTGGACCGCTGTATGGGGTAAGATCCTGATGATTGATAATCTAAGGAAAAAGGGTAACTGTCTTGTTAACCGGTGTTGCCTTTGCAAACAAGATGGTGAGTCAGTTGCTCATATTCTCATGCATTGTCCTGTGGCGAGGGATTGTTGGAATCTTATTTTTGTTTGTTTGGTATGCGTTGGGTTATGCCTTGTTATCCTAAGGATTTGATTCGTATTTGGAGAGGATGTCCCATGCGTAGTGCTGTTTGCGATTATTGGAGAGTTTTACCACATTGTGTCTGGTGGTGCATTTGGAAGTAGAGGAATAGTAGAATGTTCGAAGGGAAAGAATCGTCCACGGCAATTCTGAAACTCCATATCATACGCTCTCTTTTCAGTTATGTGAAAAGGAAGTCCTGTTGCTCTTCCGAAGATTTAATTATTTTTTTTGGCTTCTTTGGGGCCTTAAACCCCAGTTCCACTTTTGTATAAGGGATGTGTTCCCCTATTGAACGCCTTTTAATTTAATTATTACTTATCAATAAAAAAAAAGTTGTCATAACTTAAAATCTCCAATAATACGTTTGAAAGTCATTCATAAAGATGACAATATGTTAAATAATTCCACTATATGCACATTGACAATTGCCAGCCCCAGTCTGGCCAGTTATCTAACCGATTTGTTTTCATATGTGAAAGAATGTCTTAATTCACAACTTCATTGTGAGAGGTTGTGCCAGAATTACTATTTTCAAACTTGATAAGTTATGGTTAATTCGTACCCAATGGTGAGTATTGTTGTGTTTAAAAAATAGCAAAATCCTGTAACTTAATAACAGAAGACAACTCCTTTTAGATCATCCAAAATTATAAAGAAGTCTAACATATACATTGATTTCATGTTCTGCAAGGGTTCTATGGAAAGACCATGCCAAACACTTGCTCTGTGTCAAAGAACGAAACTAGGATCTATGTCAACAAATCATGGAGAATACAATTGAATTTATGAAGTTTACTTCTACTAGCTTACCATCATATCAGGAAGAGGCATCTTAACTTTTGTAAGCATAATTTCAGTATTATTGGCCCTCCTGAGGTCAACCTACAATGCATAAAAATGAAAATTAATTAGTAAGAGGGTAGAGAAGAGAGGAAAAGATATGAGCAACAAATAATAGTTGCACATTGCAGAAGCTTCCAACATAAAATGTTTACAGTAATCAATTAGAGCCATCCTTGACAAAGAACAACACAACTACAAACCCATTAGTTAGAGAAGTGGAAGTGTAACAATTCTATCCCAGCCCGCATGGGCTAACTCAACTGGTAAGGCCTTTGGGGGTCCTCCCCTTAGATCTCTAGTTTGAGGCTCACCAAAGGTGAGGCCTAGACTTAAATGATGCACGTGGTTTGTGGGCGATTGCATGCATCCGGAATTTGCAAACCATCCGAGTGTCCAAAGTGGCTAGCGGGTAGGTTGATTCTTCATTACCAAAAAGAAAAAAAGAAAAAAGAATATCCCTAACTGATCAGAAAAAGAAGAACTAATAAGCAGATAATTTTTTTAAAAGTCTAATAGCTGTTGAAACTGTTTGTATACTACCTTCATTCATTCCCATAACAAAACTAAAGAAGTTTTATCAAGAATTCTTATGTACACCACCTTAGTAGTAGAATGAAAAGGGAAGGATAGAAAAGAAAGAAAGATAAGATACACATTCTGGTTAAAACTACATTGCTACTGGAACAAATTTATATGGAAGATGAACAATCAACATCAGCATCCTCTTCAGCCAAATAGCATGGCAAACTTGTAGAGTTTCATCTATTGCTTCACTCAAGATAAGCAATATATAAACCATGCTCCCTATTTTAGGGCAAAAAACAGTATAATAACGATCCTGTACCCAAACCAAGTAACCAACACCAAATTGACAGTGATTCACTCTCAGCATACTATTTCTTAGTATATGTATGCATGCAACTGTAAAATCAAATTTTATATTGCTGTCAAGTATTAACAGATGCATTGAGCATCAGACAACAAAAATGAAAGAATCAACAGTAATGAAATCAATTCCACAAGACCACTTAGTTCATGTATGACCAGCAGAATCTTCACTTGGTTAACTGCTGTGAATAATGACATAAAGTGAACATGCTTTTACAATTAAAAAACATATTCATCAGGAAAAATGAACACAAAAACCAAGTATGCATACTTTTTCCCCCTCCCCTCTCCCTCCTCTCCGGAAAAACAAAATGAATATATCCAAAATGAATATCTCCCACTGAAATTGAAAACTCATATCCAATGCAAACTTAGCTTCGCCTCCACCAAAACACAGAGAACTACATACAGTATACATTTTGCTGGATTGACTCAAACGCCACTTCTCATGTTCACATAGTTGAAGCCAATTGTATATGGGTCAAAATTCAACAGTGTGTATGGCATGGGCAGGGGAAGAAAGGATTTCTTTCCCCAGTCGGACACCAATTCATTTTAGTGCAAGCCTCCTGACATGCCTGTGTCAGAATTCTATCTTTGCATTTCACCTTACACAAAGCATGACATTTTAAAATTGAGTCACAAGAATCAATTAAAATAACTCAGAAGGAACATACAACCGAAGCACCCCATGACAGATCATGAGGATCATCATGTTATTGGCAGGATTTTTTGTCCAAAAAGTAGAAGTATCTTCTCTCACAGGACTTACGGCTTCCTAAAAATAAATTTTGTAGGAAAAAGTATTACATATTACATTACCAGGTGGACTTTGTCAGTTTTAGATCCAGCAGACTTCCGCCCTCCAGATTTACCTCCTGAGCTGTTCGACTTTGCGACTGTGGCAGAGAAAAGAGTTTCAAGTTCTGACACATCAAATTCTGCCGCACTAGGATTAGAGGATACAACATCAGTGATCTATTAAGGGGTAATATTAAAAAGTGGAAAGGCACGCAATCATAGTTCAAACAGAATCATTTAGAACTATATGTATATCTACATGTCTCGCCTATGTAAAGAAATGCACGCTGAGGCAACCAAGTTATGAACTAAATGCCAAAGAAAACATATTTGAACAACAACTAAATAGTTTTCTACTTTTCTGGAACTATTGAAAAGAAATCAAGGTAGGAAGACAACCAATTGTCACAGTAAACTAGAAAATTGAATCAATAAGAGAAGTTGCTGTACATGTGAGGCTGCTCTCCATGTCTTTGCAATTCTTCCCACAAGCTTCCTTGCAATGCCCTGGTTACCTTGCTCCAGTGCAGTGGCTTTAAAGTAGATCTTCGAGACGCTGAAGCAGGTGACATCCCTCCCGGACGTGAAATCCCACGCCCTCTTGCTGAAGACAAACCTCTCGCATCTGTTGCTGGTCCTTTGGCACCAAAAGCTGGAGGCGGTGGAGGTGCACCACCTGGAGGTCTGGGTGCTCCAGGAGGTGGAGGAGGGCCAGGAGCCCGAGCTCCAGGAGGAGGTGGTGGAGGTGGGCCTCCAACCGCTGGAGGCGGCGGTGGAGGTGGGGCTCCACGCATTGGAGGTGGTGGAGGCGGCACTCCATGCATCGGAGGAGGGGGGGGAGGCGGGGTTCCACCTGTTGGAGGAGGTGGGGGAGGCGGGGTTCCACATGTCGGAGGAGGAGGGGGAGGTGGGGCTCCACTTGTCGGAGGAGGTGGCGGGGGTGGGGCTCTAGATAGAAGAGGCGGGGGCGGCGGGGGTGGGGCTCTAGATAGAAGAGGTGGGGGTGGCGGCGTTGGAGCACCATGTGGAGGAGGGGGTGGGGGCGGTGGCGTTGGAGCACCATGTGGAGGAGCGGGTGGGGGAGGTGGGAGTGGAGTGCCATGTGGAAGGGGAGGAGGAGGAACTCCATGCATGGTAGGATGTGATTGCAAAGGAGGTGGAGGGGGAGGAGGTAGAGGTGGCGTAGAAACTCCAACTCCATGCATGGTAGGATGTGATTGCAGAGGAGGGGGAGGGGGAGGGGGAGGGGGAGGGTTAGGTGGTGGAGGTGGAGGTGGAGGTGGAGGTGGAGGTGGAGTAGAAACTCCAACTCCGTGCATGGTAGGATGTGATTGCAAAGTTGGCGGAGGGGGAGGAGGAGGTGGTGGAGGTGGAGGTGGAGGTGGAGTAGAAACTCCAACTCCATGCATGGTAGGAAGTGATTGCAAAGTTGGCGGAGGGGGAGGAGGAGGTGGTGGAAGTGGAGGGGAAGGTCGAGGTGGAGGTGGAGTAGAAACTCCGACTCCATGCATGGTAGGATGTGATTGCAAAGGAGGGGGAGGGGGAGGAGGTGAAGGTTGAGGTGGAGTAGAAACTCCAACTCCAGCAGGTTTTGATATAGCGGATGCATAAAAAGGAGGAGGGGGTGGCGGCGGAGGAGGTGGATAGCCTGATACCATCACAGGAACAGTTTCAGAAGTCCCAACTTTCCAAGGGGGTGGTGCAGGCGGAGGAGGCAGAACCTTACCAAAATTCTGCACACTGCATTGAGTGGCATGTGGAGGGGGATTGTTTCCTTGAGAATTTGCTAGTGGAGGTGGAGATGGAGGTGGAGGTGGAGGAGGAAGGGAAAAACTAGTTTCTTCCACTTGCATGGTGTGGTCAGGTGGAAAAGAAGATTTGGAGGTAAAAGTACACAACAAAGAGCTAGGAGGAGGAGGTACAGGGGGAGGGGGAGGTATTAAAGGTCGGGATGCCGGAGTTTCTACATCATGCAGAATTGTCACATGACTTTGTAGAGGAAGAGAATTTGAAGTTTTGTTAAAAGATGGAGGAGGAGGAGGAGGAGGAGGGGCAACTTGACGTGGGCCAGGAAATGGTGCTGGTGTAGTCGAAGAGGGAGTGCAAGTCCCTTGAAGTAGGAGTTCATCTGAAGACGGTGGAAAAGAAGTGTGTTTTATTGGTGCAACCTCTGCGCTCTTTGTGGGATCAACTTTATGACTTATAGTTTTAGGGATGTAATTAGTTGGAACCACAGGTCCAGCAGCATTAGCAGGAGACTTTAATTTTCCATCCTCATGAGAATCCTTTACAAGGGCTTGTGCAGCTGGTTCACTGTTATATCTCGACTGCAGATATGATACATGCATTGAATCAGTGTGAGAGACATTCTTAGGAGGGATTGACTGAGAATCTGCATTTGGCTTTGCCTGTCTTACAACCATATCCTGAGGTTCTTGCTGCTTAATATTTTGATTTGCATCAACTAAATCTGCAGCTGGTTCTGCACTGAAGGATTGTGGTTGTCTGCAAAGATCAGCACTCAACTTCTGCTGTGAATCCTGCCTTTTTAAGTTCTTCTGCATATCATTTTCTTCCCTAACTTGGCTATTCTTCTTCTCTTCCGACTTGCCACCGACATTTGCAGCTATTACCTTGGTTTCTATATTGTTGGGCAAATCAGCAACCACTACCGTAGAGCCTAACTCACGCCTTCTATCATTTAGAGCAATGGCTTTTCCAGCATGAAAGTTAGAATCTATCTTCCCATCCTGTTTGTGATTCCCGTCATCAGATGCACAGTCTTGAAATGCGTGAGTTTCCATTTCCTCTTTCCAAACCACTTTGTGATTCTCGTCATCTAGCGTGCTGTCTTGAACTATATGAGCACCCAAGCTTCCCTTTCCATCATGTCCGTCTACTACATTGCTGAAGATCTCTTCGACCTCAAAGAACTCTTCAGGTGATGCTACTTCCGCCTCATTCTCATCTTCACTTGCTACTTCTGTGGTGATAATAGATGGAACTGCATCAGCATCCGAAAAGAGTACCTGATACAGATATGAGTATGCATTCAACTCCTACAGCTTCAGGCAAAGGACATTTCACACAAATAAAACAATACCTACCTCTGCTTTGAAGTCTTTTGGAAATTGGTCCTTTGCATCCCACAAGACATCAACTTCATCACGGTTCAACATCAACACATTTGACCTGACAAATGCTGTGTGGAACATAACTCTGAACATCATTTCCTCCTTTTGCAGGTCATCACCCAAATGGATGCACTCAAGAACAACATCTCCTTGGATACGGCGATGAATATCTAGTTTAATCAGTGCACACTCTTCCTGCAGTTAGAAATTAGAAGTTACAGAAAATATTCAAATCCTGGTTGATTCATCGTTAGGCTTCAAAATTATAAATTTGGCATTACCTGTCGGTAGTGGCGAGGATGTTTTTTCATCTTTGAGGTTGAAAACAAAAGCTTTGAACTTCTATTAGCTGTCGTTGAAGAAGGATCCTGACCATAAACACGAACTACTGGTCGACAACCCTTTCCCCCATCAAACAAAGGTACGACTCTGAGTATGATACAGTCCAAAGCTAAGGGTGTACTTGATGGCGGCCAATCTGAACCCAAAGAATTCCTTCTGGAAATGTACTGAAGATATCTCAGCTGGGAAGGCTGTGGATTTAAAGGAGACAAAAGATAAAGAAGTTCCCTAGGAGCTTGCTTGTATACCATTTCAAGAGTTTTTTGTTCACCACTGTACTGTTTTCGGTATAACAGAAGGCCTGCAAGCATGAATGCGAGCACAGGCCATCCTCCCTTTTCACAATGCATCAGCAGCACATTTTGTTGCCCCTGCAATGATGACCAGCTGTCACTGGATCGCAGGAAGTGGTGGATCATCTCCAATGGTAACAAAGGACACCCCTCATATTGCCGAGGGTAATCCATCACTGTCATGTCATACTGAGATAATATATCTGAAATTTGGCTCTTCCGCTCCCCTTCTCTGAAGTTAAAAACCATGAAAGAAGCATCTGGATAGTGATCTTGTAGCTGAGCTACAATGCCATTCATGTACATTTTGTACTCATGTTCTAACAATATGCCAGTGGAGAAGCAACAATCAAACACTGCAAGTAAAGAAAAATGAATAGGGTTACAAAGTACATATGGCCACAACAAGATGGGGAAATATGAATAAAGAAAAGTCTGACCTTCCAAAGTGTGAAATAACTTCTACTGAAAATACAACAATATTTCACAGTGAAGTAAAAAAAGAATATCAAGGAAATGCAGCAAACCCTACATAACAACCACTAATAGTCTTACCACAACCGATTACTGCCCTAACAACACAAATACGTAGTATAATAATATATAATATAAAACCCATCCTATTTTTCCTACCCTTGAAATTCCAATCTCTTGGATAAGAATGTGGCAAATAAATGAATTTGCGGTGTAAGGAGGTTCCAAAATTACTCCCACTGCATGTACATAGGACAATGAAAAGGATGAAAAGAAATATGTTGGTGAACTAGACAACGAAGAGTGTGAATGAAAAAATTGTGGGTGCACCATGTAGTAATATGTACACGGCCAAAATGTCTCGAACATATTTAATTCCTCAATTGCTGGTAGTTTCAATAGTCTGCTTGCCTAATTAGTAAGCACTAAAACATTGAAACCTTCAATCATAATTAACATTGCACCCCAATGAGAGAGAGAGGTTCCAGCTTCTAAACACTGCCATGGGAAAGCAGAGAAATGTAAGAGTTGCAAAACAGTTATTAAAATCAATACCCAGCATTACAACGGCTCTAGCTAAAGCTGCCAACGGTCTATATATGACACAGGAAACTTCAATCAGCCATTGACATATTGATCAATACCTCAATTAACAGAATCATCAGTGCATCATCATAAAATTGAAAAACAAAAACATAACAATCAAGTAAACTTATTCTAAGATGCACAGAAGTTTGCATAATTAAGCAATATACACGACATTTTGGCCCAAAAGATAAAATGACATAACATTTTGAAATTTGCAGTTGGGTGTCCATTCTCTGTGCAATTCGAAAATGACAAATTTCGCAATTTGAACAGAGCAAAAGTGAGCAAAGGAAGATACCGTATACTCTCTCGGAGATCTCAAGAAGCCGATCCGGCGGCTTCCGATAAAAGAACCTTCTGAACAGCGCCATCTAATGGCGCTGTTTCTCCCCCAATCGGATCCAAAACGTTGGTTCAATAAACCACCCTCCAGATTGAATTGCTACAATTCACACCCAATCTCGTAAGAAGCGCCAATTCAATTACACAAACAAAATATTACAATTAAATTGTTAAGAGAGAGAATTATATCGACGTAGACAGAGTTCTTCGTATCAGAATTGCATTTGGCAATGCAATGTGATCCAATGCAATAAAAGAAATTGAAAGAAACAGAATTTGAAAGAGAAAGTCAGCGGATAAATTGCAATTCGGAAATGAGATAGTAGAGGAAGTGACAGTAGGGATTATGAATATTAGGGTTTGCAGAGGATTGTTAAATGAATGGGGAAAATGATCATTCATTCCATTGTTTTAGGCTTTTAGCAACCACGTGAAGAGAGAGACAGAAGAGACTGAAAGGGTGAATCCACTTAGACCCTAGCCTCTCTGCAAGTTGGACCGTGACAGACAGAAATTAACGGAAACATGAGAGAGAAAATTTTGAGAGAGAGAGAGAGAGAGTTGATAGTGCGCAGAGGTTTGGACAAGAGATGATGCCTAGCAAAAATTGCATGAGATGTGTTGGGAGCTGGGACCTCTAAAAATTGTAGTGAGAGAAAGGAGGAGAGAGAAACTGGCAATATATATATATGCATGTGATTATATTTGTCAAATACAGTACTTGTTTTTCTTTTTCATGTTTTATTGGGTTTGTGACTATATAGTGAATCTATATTTAGAAACATGTTTTAAGAAAAAAATAATAAAGACGGATATATATAGATGTATATGGCAGGCATGTTGTTTTTTTGGGAAGGTATATAGAGTATGCATATTCAAACATAAGTTAAAATAGTTTGTTATTTTTTTTTAATGCGTAAAAAAACTCATTTTCAACTCAAGAAGCATTAAGAGTCCGTTTGGAATTGCTTCTCTATTGGTCAAAAACATTTTTATTTTAAAAATTACGTTTTGTATTTAGATGTGTTTGGTAATCATTAGAAGCACTTTTAGTTTAGAACGTTTGAATGAAACTAAAATTTGAAACTTTTAAAATTACTTTTTGAGTAGAGAATGAATATTTTAGATAACTTTTCCTCATTAGACAATTTTGTCCTTTTACTTTTTATAAAGACAAGTGCACGATTTTAATAAAGTTGCTACTATCAAATTTGGTAATATCATATTAAAGGATATTATTGTAAAATTAACAATAGAAATGTTTTAAAAAACTTATTACCAAAAAAATTAAAAAATAATTTAATTGTAAAAAATATTTATTATAATGTGTTATCAAACACCTAACATATTTTTTACTGACCACAATTTTTTTGACCGTCTATTAATAAAAATACTTTTTTTATTCTAACAAAAACCCTAAACGAACTCTAAATGTCACCTAATGTTTTGTTATAATGAAGTAAATTTTTTTTTTTTTTTTGGGAAGGTAATGATGTAAATAAACCTGTGTATGTAAATATGCTAGTTGTAACCTCTTTCTCCTTGGTAGGTGAGGTTGGATTTTTAATTGTTTAAGCTTCTTATCGATAGAAAGGAAAAAGTTTCTTTTATCATTGAAAATTTGTTTTCCTCTAAAATCTATTATTTGTCTTTACATTGTCCAAGTACAACTAACACTAAGCCAATAATTATTTTTATTGGTTGTGTCATGTGTGTGTGTGTGTGTTTTTTTTTTTAATGTCAGCCCTTTGTTCTTTATAAAATAGTTAGTCTAATAATTATTTTTTCATTCTTTTATAATCTATTAATTTATTATTCTATATGACTCTTTGTTTATTTTTATTCTAATACATTTCATCATCTTAATCTTTGTCTTAGTATCGTACAAATGGGTCTTCTAATACAATTTTTATTTTCATATTTTTAATTTTATTATTAAATTTTCTGTAGAAGTATTCAACATTACAGTGTCATTGACAAACAATAAAGAAACAATTATTGTTCTTTATAAAATAAGCAGAAGGATTAAGATGGGGGTGGTTTAAAGCATTATGGTGTTTGACCGTATTGATTAATTAGTTTATGAGCAACTCCACAATGTACTCATCAATTAACAGAGCACTTGTAGTTGTATTGTATTGAAAGAAATCTCATCCACACGTTAGGTAGATCATAATTAAATCTGAATTCCACGTGTCTTGGTTTCAAGAAATGAAAGCAAAAGTTATATGTAATCATTGATCCCGTCATGTGCATGTCATGTGCGACCTTGCACACTTATAGCAGACCTTTGATATTAGAAAACTTGGGAAGTGAGGGTGTCATAATTGGTTTGTTAGAATAATTATTATGTTAAGGATAATTACTGTTACACCAAACAGATACTACTAGCCCAAACAAAAGTGATTAGTCTTCTCATCAATCAATTGATTGAAATGGATACGAAGGGTGTTGATTGACGTTTGATATCAGCTTAATTGGAGCTCTTGCTACCATTATCTATCTCTTTACACATTTTACTTTTTTAAAGGTACTTGACGTGATACATATAATTTAAAAAAAAAAAAAATTATTTTTTTGTCTTTGTTAAATTTCCGATATTGTTTAGAAAAATATAATTATAAATAAATTTTTTATGATCAAAGTAACAAATTATTTAAGTTTTTAATTACTTTGTAAAAATTTTAAATTACTATAAGAAATGCAGAGAGAAGTGAAGTTCGGTGGTTATCTAACAGATATGGTTACCAAAGCAAGTTCTATTTGCTTTCTTTCAAGTCTAAGAGATTTTTTGCATAGGCAAATATCTTCTATTTTATCGCTTTCATCTCTTGATTTCATTTTTTTGCCCCCTCTTTCTAGGTTTATAAATTTTTCTATTTATATTTATAAAATGAAAAATAAGTCATTTCTTTCTACATGCACCAATTAGGGATGGCAATAACTCCCACCCCGATCGGCCACATCTTGTTTGAAGCGATTTTGGAGAACTGATTATGTAAATAGGGACAAGAATAGGGACTGTTTTGAAAAATTCGACAAATTTTGGAACAGTTATGGAAATAAAAAAAATTAAATGGGAACGGAGATGGAAATGGAGATGGAGATGGAGATGGAGATGGGGATGGGATCTCATTCCCCATCCCTATTCCCGTTTAATTTTTTCATCCCCATAACTGTCCCAAACTCACCGAGTTTTTCAAAGCAGCCCCATCCTCATTCCCATTTACATAATCGGTTCTCCAAAACCACGACAGGGTGGGGCCTGTCAGGGTTCATCCCTAATATATATATTCAACCTATTTTAGTAATATATCATAATATGTAAGGGTAATTTAATAAATCTATAATATATTCAGGGTGGGGGCAACCATCCCCTGAAATCGGCCCAAAACCCACTGGGTTTTTCAAAGCAACCTTTATCTCTGTCCCTATTTACATAATCGATTTTCCAAAATTGCCCCCAAACGAGGCAGGGCGAGGCCCCGCCGAAGCCATCCTGGCGCGATTAGGACACGCTGGTTAGTAAAAAAAGCCACTACCATCCATCTATCAGAGTGAGAGCTCAATCATGCTTCTTCCACTTATTTAGTTTAGTCTCAATCGCATCTTTCAAAAGATGAAACCATGAACTTTAAAAATAATTCTGATCAAATTTTTATGTAAATATGGTGCAAGTTTGAAGTAAAGTATGATAGAAGTTTGATGTACATATGCCACTAATAAAAGTTTAGAGTAAAGTTGGTACAAATGAAAATTATTAACAACATTGTTTTAAAAGCACAAAAATGGTATAATTGAGGGTGAGGATTTTGATTCCGAGTTTGGTTTTTATCGTGAATACGGTAGCAAATGAACTCATCTATACATGAATAATTCGGGGTTAGCTCAAACTTGTTCGTTAAATAAATGAGCTGAGCTCGAACTCGATTTTCAAGCTCGTGAATATAAGTTTGTGTAAGTGTAGTAATGGAGCTAATGTAGGCCTAGGGGGGCATGTGCCTCCACTGGCCTGGCCTCGCCCTTTGTAATATATGTCGTGATTTTTTTTATCTTTTTCATATGCCTCCTATAATTTTTAGTTTCTAAAATTATCTCTTAGTTTTTTCCTTCCCCCCTCGATGCTTTGTCCCTGCGTAAGCATGTACGACATAGGCTTGTGAATACATTCATAATAGGTAAAGTTGATGAACATATTCATGAACATAGGTTATGAACAAATCAAAAATATCTTGAACATGAGCTCAAATTTAACCCGAACAATTTTTATTATTCAACGAGCTGAGTACTGGCTTTTTAGAATAATGACAAGATGAGACCAAACTCAGCTTTTCAAGCTCGTAGTAAACTTGAGCTAAGCTTATAAACAAATGAGCCAAACCAGAATAAAAATTCAAACTTGACTCAACTCAATGTCATTTGCAACCCCAAGTGGCTGACAATGGGCTGTAAATACTACGTAAATGTGCAACAAAAGTACCAACACCTAAACGGTCACCCTTTAAGAGGTTAAGACGGTATGAATAGTTAACTAATCAATAAAATTATGAGTATGTTGACACCCATTTTGGTAAATTTTGAATCGATGATGTGGCAATAAATAAGGGTGATATTTCACGTGGATTGAAGTTGAAATTGTATGCAAAGATGGGAAGATTATTTTAAATAAGTTGTGGATAAAGATCATTAATTTAAGACTTATCTTTTAATTAGTTTTAGTTGCATAATTATGTTATCTATAGGATTAGTTTTTTTTGAATTAATAGTTGATTAAGTGATAGAGTTGTAATGCAAGTAAAATACTTGCATATAGGAGTTTGTGTTTACGTAGTTTTCTATAAACAATGCTATAGGCATGCTTTGTAAGAGGTCCAGCACCCTCAGAATCAATTTATTATTTTGTTTGCTTTCTCAAGCACCTTCCTCAAATAGCATCCTTGCTATCTTTATCTTTCTCTCTATTTCAGTCTTGTTCTATTTCTCTCCCCATATCTCTTTCTCCGTATCTCTTCTCCCTATCACTTTCTATATCTATTTCTTCCCTTTTCTATTATCTTGTTACGTTACTATAAATTGTTTACGGAAAGTCCTTTTAACTAAGATATTTTTGAACCCAAAAAAGGAATTTATTTGTTCCCTTTTTCTTCGCATCGTCTGAGAGTCAACTTTCTCAAAGGGACTAAAGTTGACAATTCACAATCGAACCACCCAAGTGGTTTTGGCACGCCCATAACATATCAATTTAAGATCGGCTCTAACCAGCCGATTTTAGGGTCAACATTTTTGGCACGCCCGGTGGGACCCCACTAGGTGAGTGATTTATAGCAAAAATATGCAGTCGACTTCTCAACCGACATACAAATATTCTGATCAGTCAAATCAGCCGATGTACTAATATTCTAATCAGCCATATAGTTGGCCAGACAATTATCAGCAATCAGTAGCCGATTATCGGCATGTTCCAGAAGTCACTGATTATCGGCATGTTCCAACAGTTGATTATCGGCATGTTCCAATGATTGATTATTGGCATATTCCAGCAACCGATTATCGGTAGACGCCAACAGTCGCCGATTATCGGCATGTTCCAACAGTTGATTATCGGCATGTTCTAATAACTGATTATCGGTATGTTCCAGAAGTCGATTATCGGCAGACGCTAACAACCGCCGATTATCGGCATCTTCCAGCAGTCGATTATCGAAATCTTCCAGCAGCCGATTATCGACATCTTCCAGCAGCCGATTATTGGCTGGTGGTAAATCAACAAGTGGGAGAAATAAGATCCCAACTAAATCTCCAAATGGGAGAATTTAAAGAGGCACTTGCTGATTATCGGCAAGTGGTAAATCAACAAATAGGAGAAATAAGATCACAACTAAATCTCCAAATGGGAGAATTTAATGAGGCATTTGCCGATTATCAGCAGGAGAATCAGGAGATTAAAGCAATGATGGCTCAAGCTTTAGCCCTAATCCAGGCCGATGTAGTTCAACAAGGTCTACCAGCACTACTAGCGACTGCCGGGGGGCATGTGATTACAAATCCCCAACAAAAGTTAGTTGATTCATACCTTCTTCTTCAGCCTGTCGATTATAGTGGGGCATGTTTGCCGATCAATGGACTTTTGGGCATAATTCAGTCCTGCCGATTGAGCTGAAGGCAAAATCGGCTGAGGCAAAATTGGCTGAAAGACAATCGGCTGAAATGAAATCGGCTGGAAGGAAATCAGCTAAGACAATTCCTTACTGGCACAATGTCATTCATTTAGTAGAGATAATAGGCAGATCGGTTAGAATGACGCTTCACAATAATTTAATTCATGCCGATCATGATCATGATTTGCTATTGGAGTTGGAAAACGCATGGTAGGCAAGTCCTTCCTGGGTTTCTGGGCAAATGATATCGGCAAACTTTCTGAGAACCTAGCAAGAAGCCTAAATCGACAGATTTTGCTAAACAAAGATCATCTTAAGGGTGATTCAGAAGGAATAAAGTTTTGGAGCTCGCTGATTTGCAATCTTATTCCAATTGATTAACTCAAAATTTTCTTCCAATGTATTTTAAAATTTCAAATATCTTATCGGTTTAAGCGGCTGACAGCTGATAAGACATTTAAAATGGGGGGCATTATTGACACCCATTTTGGTAAATTTTGAATCGATGACGTGGCAATAGAGAAGGGTGATATTCCACGTAGATTGAAGTTGAAATTGCATGCAAAGATGGGAAGAGTATTTTAAATAAGTTGTGGATAAAGATAATTGTTTTAAGACTTATCTTTTAGTTAGTTTTAGTTGCATAATTATGTTATCTATAGGATTAGTTTATTTTGAATTAATAGTTGATTAAGTGATAGAGTTGTAATGCAAGTAAAATACTTGTATATAGGAGTTTGTTTTAGGTAGTTTTCTATAAATAATGCTATAGGCATGCTTTGTAAGAGGTCCAGCACCCTCAGAATCAATTTATTATTTTGTTTGCTTTCTCAAGCACCTTCCTTAAATAGCATCCTTGCTATCTTTATCTTTCTCTCTATTTTAGTCTTGTTCTATTTCTCTCCCCATATCTCTTTCTCCCTATCTCTTTTCCCTACCACTTTCTATATCTATTTCTTCCATTTTCTATTATCTTGTTACGTTACTATAAATTGTTTACGGAAAGTCATTTTAACTAAGGCATTTTTGAACCCGAAAGAGGAATTTATTTGTTCCCTTTTTCCTCGCATCGTCTGAGAGTCAACTTTCTCAAATGGACTAAAGTTGACAATTCACAATCGAATCGCCCAAGTGGTTCTGGCACGCCGTAACATATCAATTTAAGATCGGCTCTAACCAACCGATTTTAGGGTCAACAGAGTATGAATTAATCAATATTTTCTTCAAGCAAAGACAACAATTCATTAATCAAAACTCTCTCTAACATGACATCAAAATTCATATAGATTATTAGAAAGACGTAAATTAATAGACCATGAGTTGGGTTTGGAAGCATTTTTAAGGAACATGTTTTTTTACTTAGGCTCTTTTGTTTGTTTTGACATAAAAAAATTTCAGCTTTGAGAACATCTTTTAATTTTTGATTCAAAAATGTTTTATCATATTTTTAAGAAAAACAAAAAGAGTTTAGAAATCTAAAATAATGGTTGGATTTTTTTTCTTTCTATAATGTTTTTTTCTAATCCATCATACAACGGAGTACTACTACAAATATAGAATGGGAGTATGATAAGATACCAACACAATAAAATGACGAACATTTTAGTATTATATATAAAAAATTAATTAGGTACACAACTATATACAGTATTACTTATTAAATTATTATATGTAAAAAAAATAATGTTTGTGCATTCTATCTATATAATATTGTAACTAATAATTTTAAATTTTAGGACTGGAACATGCGTTTTGTGTAGTTTCTGGTTTTTAAAAATTTGATGCTATCCTTTTATTAATTAATAATTAATAATATCCCATTATCCGAAAAGAATAGTGTCGTACTACGGCAGCTGGCGGACAAACGGGGACAAAAGAAAACGACAAAAACAGTTTAGCGACCGTTTTAAAAGACAAGATTAGTGAAATAGGTTAGGGTTTGGTCTCGTTTACTTCGAGGGCGATGGTCTGTTATCTCCAGAAAATTTTGGAATCTTTTGATTGAAACGAAAATGCACTTATTCGATACCTCCAAAAATATAAAAAAACAAAAAAATCACATCAACAAAATGATAATTTCAATGAACTTTTCACATTCCCTCTCTCTCTTGGACCACATGGTCCACATATGGTCCCTGCTTCATCATCACTCAAATTTCCAGGAAAACAGAGTCTCACCTTTTCCAGGTAACAAGAACTCTTTCTTTCTCTCTTTCTACAAAATTGTACTTATTCGTTAACTTCGGTAAAATTGTATCTGTTACCTTTTGGTTAGCAAGAAAGTTTAAGATGGAAAGTGCAACATCCATTGAAACCAAATTGACACATGATATGCCCTAATTAACTAATTGAATAGATATGGGTTATCCATTTTTTTTGGGTATTAGGGTTTTAACAATCTTCGTGAATTGATGTACCAGAATCTCAAGTATACAAGCACATGATAATTAATATTACCCTGATACTGTGTGTGTGTGTAATTTTTATTATTGTTATTATTATTTTTTAAATATGAAATTTCACCATTTTAAATTTCTACTTCTATTACATCAATTGATTTGTAATGAAACTTCCACAAGGAATTAGGCAAGCCCTTAATTCATGTCGTAGTTTTGGCATAAAGTAGGGAAAAAAGCCCAAGGTGTCAACAACATTTCTTAATAATTCGAACTTGTAGTAGTTTTAATTTGGATTATTACCTGGAAAATTTTAATACAAAGAAGATGATGTTATGTGAGCTTCTAATCTATCATTTGTTATTAACTCAAACAGAAACAATTATTTAGTTAGTCTGCCAAGTTTGGGGCCTTCGTAAATTGTGATTTTTTTAAGTCATACCATTCAAATAAACGCGATTAGCATTGTTTGCAGATTTCAACACAGAATTTTTATTGTGCAGCTGGTTTCCTTGGTCCACATTTGATATGCTCTGAGAGGAAAGCATGGGAGACATTTACGCAAGATCAATTGAATCAGTTCAAGCTGCACTATCTTTGTTTAATGAGAAAAGTGATCAGAGAAAAAGTTGGTCTACAAGCAGCAATGTAAGTTGGGAATTATAGCATCGGAAGTTATTATGAACTACTATTACAAGTCCAATGGCATGAACTTTCAAATCTGAATTTCTAAATATGATGCATAACTATTACAAACTCCTATCTACAGATTTTTTTATTGGATTCAAATTTATATGCACTGATATTTATTTTTTATGCACCTGATTCTGCATTATGTATATACATCATTTCTAATTCTAAAAGTATTTTTTTTCGCAACTAAGTAGGATTTTGAATATGCAGTTGTATATGAAAGCAGGTCCTTTTTTGTTTCTTCCCTTCTTTTTGGGGGCCACTAGCCGGTTCTCACAAGCCATATTAGATTGAGAGCATGTGGTGTGGGGCTAAAGGTTATCTATCTACTTTATAAAAAGTAGATTGCCACATAAGCTAAAAATTGATGATGTGGTACTCTATTTTTTGTTAGCCAATATGTTCCATGGTCTCATTATCTATTTATTATTTTATTAATTTAATTTAAAAATTAAATGAACATTTTTAATTTTAATTTTATAATTTTTTGTCTTTTTCCCGATATCTATATTCCCAACGGTTATATTTCAATTTCTATATAAACCACTCATTCTATGGGGATTGAGATGGTTGGAATTGGAAATGAGAAGGTTGGGTTTGAGATAAATTTTCGGATTAAAAAAATTTTGAAGAATCCAAATTATAATTGGATTGCGGTGGTAATTTGGAGTTTTAAGATTGGTTAAGATGAGGGCGAAAGAATGGAGGTGGAGGATCTATAGAGATGAATGTTAAAAAAAATATTGAGAGAGAGAATTATTGAATACGAGAATTAGTTTTTATAGTGTAAATAAAATAGCCGTTTTAAAAGAGCCGTTTATTGCCGTTTTAAAAGAACCGTTTAAAAGCTGCTATCTCTTTTTTAGTTTCTATCCATAAATTTTTGTGAATCCATACGAGACAGAGCAGCCAATAAACAAAGTAAAGAAAATGATAGATATGCTCCAAACTATTCTCTATCTCTAGAGAAACCATAGAGAAGTCTTTGTGGGGGCCACAAAAAGGGCACTCAATTTTGAACGCATACCACTCCCCCCCCTCTCTCTCTCTCTCTCTCTCTCTCTCTCTACTTTTCACAATTCTTCTCTATAATTTGATGCACCCCCAGATGCTTTTGAGTTGTTCGTAATATTATTACACGCAGCAAATACGAATCTATAGTTCTGATTGTATAGATGTTATACATGGTTCAAAATTGTGCCATCTTTGTTCCACAATCAGCTCAGTTGCTAAAAATTTATGCAATGTATTTTGTTAGGTAAATTCTAACTCATGCATGTGTAATATGGAACCTATTAGCTAATTCAAAAGCTTGGATTATTACCGATTAGGACTTCCAGTTGGGTACTTTTTTGTACCTAAATTTCTTAAATTTATTTCACTAGCAGGAATTAGATAAAGAAAAAGAGCTTGATGGCCTAATAAAGGACTTAGCCAACTATAAGGTTCAACTAGAAGCAAAGGACTCTGCCTACAAGAAAGCCCTTCTTAAGCTAGACCACTATCAGAAAATATCCGATGAATTCTTCACCCTGCTAAAGAATTTTGAGTTTGAGAATGATATTAACGTCAATGAATGCAGAGAAGCTAGATTGCAAATAGGTGAACTTGAATCGAAGATGGATGGGATGGTTGATCAGCTGTCGGAAATTGTAGACACAAGAGAGCAACTTTCAAATGTTACAAACGAGTTGAAGGCCACACGGGGAGAACTGCTTAGCATGGAAACAGAACTTGCTGCTGCCAGAGAGTCGAAGCTTGAGGCCATGGCTAAAGCAGACTCAATGGAAACTGAATTACAAAGGGAAAAACTAAAAACCGAGGAACTGCTAATGAATGTTTCTGAGCTCAATGAAACTATTCTCCATTTAAAGTTGGCCGCTACTGAAGCTGAGGAAAAGAAACGTGCAGTTTTATCAGGCAAAGATGCCGAGTTACAGTTAGCGGCAACAACAGCACTTGAAGCACAGGAGCAGTTGGAAAATATGAGAGAACAACTAGAAGTAGTGATGAATTTGAAAAATCAGCTAACGGATAAGTCTGTATTTATTGATTCATTGCGGTTGGAACTTCAGCAAGCAAATGAGCTTCACAAGTTGTCAGACAAGGCTGCTTCTAATGCCATTAAGGATTTAAACCAGCTAAAATCAGATTTTCAACTGCAGGAAAGGAAGAACTCAGATCAAGAGTATTACATCAAATTACTAGAAACTGAATTGAATCAAACAAAATTAGAATTTAAGAATGCGAAAGAAGAGCTGAGCCGCCTGAAAAATGAGATGGAGGAGACCAAAGGAGGAGACACAGAAGCACAGGTTGAGATAGCAATGCTGAAATCTGAACTTGTTAAAGGGAGGTCCAAAATTGCAGTGGCAGAGGCAGCTGAAAAGGTAAGAGCTAATACTGGGAAATCAGGGCTGTATCTCCCAGTTCATCAGCTAGCATTAGAAGCGGAAGAGGCCAAGAAAGTGAATCAAAGATTAGAAGCAGCAGCAGGAGAGGAGGCGGAAGAAACTGAAAACACTGTCCTTGTCAACCCCCAATATGAAAAGTCTTCTCCCGTTGTAGAACATCCACAAATGGATGTGGCAAAGACACAAGATGATGAGAAAAGAGATGCCATCGATACCCATATCACGATTTCAATGGAAGAATATGAGCTCTTGGTGAAGGCAGCAGAGAAAGCAGATCAAGTTCTGGAGCCAGTGGCGGAAAATAGGAATGAATTGGAAAGTTTGATGAGAGAGTTGGAAATCAAAATGATGAAAATCAGTGAGTTCAGGACACGGGCAGAGCAAGCTGTAAGCAGGGCTGAGGTGGCTGAGAAGGCTAAATCAGAAGTTGAGGATCGACTGAGGAGGGGGCGAGAGCGAATGGCAAGGAGAAAGGCCGCTTTGGCTGCACTTCGGGAGGAGTCAATTCCCAAAGAAAGTAGCAGTTTTGAATTTGACAAGGATTCTGAAACATTTCAACCACTGAGTAAGGTTCTCAACATAAATTAGTCCTCAGAAGTTCTTTGGAAGTTTTTTGCTATCAAAAAGTGTTAAGACAGTCCTCTAGCACTCCCTATCCTATCCCTTTGGGATCCATGACTGATTGTAGCTCATCCATTGATCTAAGTTAAGATCTTCATTGTATTTTTTTGTTGCTGTTAATATAGTATCAGTCTCGTGTTTGCTACATGAATGTATTGTGTAATTAAGGGTGACGATACGAAGAAGAACCAATATGTGAAATACATAACTATTTATCATCAGTCCATCATATATGAGGATCTGACGAGACCAAGAATAAGTATATGATTGATGAATAAGTGAAGTGTACCCGTGTAGGGTTGTTTGTCACATGAGAAATGGCACCAGCGTTCGATATGTGTGTGTTACCGTGTGTGTATTGCACTGTTGGCATTGCAGGAGTTCTTGGCTTAAGGTAAAGATCATGAGGCCATGAGCAAGTTTGCTGTTCCGGTTAGGATGGTAACAGAAGCGACACTTATCAGCAGAATGACATTGCTTGTGGCCAATTTGCCAGGAAGCCAGTGCCTGTTGCTGGAAAGTTATGCTATCTACTATAAGCCAATTCCAGTCACCTCTTCCACTTCCATGACTAGGAAGTCTTGGGGATAGCATTTTTGCATAGCAAGAATGGTACCAGGTTTGACACAACCAGGTCTATGAACTTTTGGGCATTTGAAATAGGACTAAAGCCCATTTGACTATTTTACGTATATATAGTTAGGGTCAAGCTGCGTCTGTTACTCCTAATTGTTTGGGCCTGCACTTGTTTTTGTTTAATAGAAGAACTTAATAATGGTAGAAGCAACTCATTCTAGATGACTAGGTTTGCAAACTCAGTTGTTAGCATAAAACAATCTATATACATATATATATAAAACCTGACTTTTCAGACCCCCTTCGGCCCTTAGCGGGTAGGCTTTTGTGCCGCACTGGGCTTCAAGACCTAGGTTGAAGCCTGCCCAAACAGCACAGCGGTCTTGATTGAGTTGGCACGAAGCTGGACCCCGACAAGCCTGGTTGAGCTATTGGGCCGAGGCCTTTTTAAAATAATACTTTTTATTTTATTTTATTTTCCAGGGTAAAATTTTACAATCCGTACTTGTTTCAATTGCAACATTTGTTCACATTGAATGGTTCCATTTGGAAAGATGCCCTTTGGTCTGATGGTCCATAGTGCTTAAGACTACCGTTTCATCACTCCATAAAGTCTTGTATTAGGTTAATTAAGATGGTCCATTTTAACTTTAACATTACCTACTCTTCTATTAAGCCAAGCAAATTAGTTGAGACAGATCGATCAAGGTCATTTCTCTTTTTACTGTATGATCATGTAATAAAGCCTACTTAGGGTAAGGATACCTTGAGTTATTATTTGGCATAGGAAAAGTCATTGGAAGTCGATCCTCTCCAAACACTGCACCGCCTTTGCACTAAACTAGGTAGTTTGGTGCACCATGCAACTCGGAGTCTAGCGTGAGCCGTAAGTCATGACTATGAGCAACTCACTTTAGACTTCGTGCTGTACACCAAATTAACATAATTTTAGTACACGACACCATATATAAACCCCTCCAAAGAAGGGGAAATAGTCTTATCTGAAAATGAAAATTCCTCATAATTTTGTTAAATATTTATAATTAATGTACGTTGGTATATATACTCATTGTTTATGGAAAATTTGTGATGGGTGTTGGTCTTGGTCTCGCTTTGAAAAAATCCATTCTCTTTTAAATGAAACAATCTGCAATGAAAACATTTTTTTCAAAAAAGGCATGCTGGTCAAGTGCCCTATCAGCAAATGCTAATATGATGTTGCACTTCTTTAAAAAAATGTCGTCTTTTGCGTCACAACCACCTGATATCTTAAGGTACATTCAACAAACTACCAAACTAAATGCATCAGGATTCAAATACAACAAATATCATATTTCTGTTAAAAACTAAAAACTGTGTGTGTCTCCCTCACACACACGCATGTGTACACAGACAGACTGTGACCTCCCACTCGTGGGAGGGATGTCATCAACCACGTTTTGGCTGAATCTGAAAATTCAAAGTTGTAGGCTTCTAGTACTTCCTCTATATATATATATATATATATATATATATATATATTGTTTAACTTATTTGTGCGCATGGACGGGTGATGAAGCATTTGCTGACCAAAGATTGCTAAAATCTTTGAATAAAATGAATGAACTCATTTGTTTGAAAATTTGACTAAATGATCCAACTAGGACTTCTGGAACTTAGGTCCTGTGTTGATCAGTTGTTACACCTGAATCGAATACGATGTCCTTCAAAGTCTAAAACATATCAAGATCTATGATTAGGATTATCTATGTCTAAAACAACTTAAAGTACTAAAACTTGACCATTACGGTGCATTGTCCTAATTTGCTATAAGAAAAATTAAAAATTTTGTGACACTGAATTTGTTTGGTGTCTCACACAGTGGTCGGTCTCGGTCTCTATTTTAATAGGTGGCATCATCATTATTTATGTGAGATGACAGACAATAATATGTTACAATGTGTATTATTACTCATGTCATAAATTAAAAATATAAATTGAACGGACGAAAAGATTTGAATCCTGTAAATTCAATCCTTGCAAAGCATATATATCTCTTGGTGCACTTCGATCAACTTGAGTTCAAGCCAAAAACTCAATCATGGCAACCCCAAAACTTCTAGTACTTGTTATGGATTGAATATATATATCATTGGGTCAACAAAAAATAGTGACTCAATCATCTATATTTTAAATTACACCAATCCAACAAGTAAATCTTCCAACTCTAACGGCCTTGAAAATTAGAACAAGCTGGTCACCTTGATCCCTATGACATCACCACCACAACAAATATTTATTAGCATCATAAGTTGATTCTTGGGTTCTCGCTTATGCAATCTCTTTAACACATTTAACACGGCACTACGCAAGAGTTAATATCAATTGAAAAATTATCATTTCAACATATACATACATACATACATACATATGTATATATATATACACACATACATACATACATACATATATATAAAAAGAATATGTTAAATTCTCCTTGGCCGTCCATCTCTAAAGGAAGGACACTACTGTAATATAAAATGTTGCAAATTCATCTCATCACCATTTGTAGTGCGTATGTAATTTAAAGTTGTTGATCTCTCAAACTTTGGAATCTTTGATTTAATAATTATATACATTTTTTTTTTTTGAAAAAGCTATTTTTAACACAATTAGCAGCGTTTTGTTTATATATGTGTCTAACGAATATCTACTAGAACTATATAAATGTGTTTGTATATATATATATATATATATATATATATATATATTTGACTCTCATTTGTTTGTCACCTTCTCTGTAGTCTGTATGTAGTGTACAGTCCTCAATTTTTGTTTTGCTTCTTCAATTTTTGTTTTTACAATAATTATACATAATGGTAAAATATAAAAGATTAGTATTTGTCATTGTTTGTTAGGATGTTGATTAAACCACCAAATCTAGACAATCTAAAAGGTTTAAAGAATGAGAAAATTATGGCATGATTATTTTCGTTGGCCATGGTTGGTGCCGGAGATTTGGATTTTGCAGTTTCAGGAGGAGAGAGCTCTGATACCATGTTAACTTTATGATACAGAAATATAAAAATAGGAAGATGAAATAGAGAAAAATTAAGAACACAGAATAGCATATACATGGTTCGACACTAAGGCCTGGATCAAGAGTCACTGAGGCTACATTTCTATTATTAATTCTCGATACGTTTACATTGTATTGATACACATTATATAGAAAATAAAGTTGACAAAATGAATAAATCAAGAAAACCGAATATAATATATATGTATAATATATTATACATATATATAAGGAAAGAAGGGAGAAGGAAATAGAATATAATCATATATATAATATATATTTCAATATTCTCCTGCAAGTTCAAGATGGGTTTCTCGAAGCTAACTTGAGTTTAGAGATGAAATTTTGAAAATGAACTGTGGTGGAACGAAAAACATCCGAAAGGTCGAAACAACGTCGGAGAAATGGGTCAGAACAAAGCCGAGAAATGGGGCGGAGCAGCACTGGGAGACATCTGGGTAATCCATCTGAGAAATGAAAATGATCTGGAACAAAGTGGGAGAATAAAGCCGGGGAAGTGGCCGGAACAAAGCTTCGGAGCATTAGGATGAAAGAGGAGCGCGTGGGCACGTGTAGTGCTAGTGTGATCTACTCGTGTAGGAGTTTCAGCCTGTAACTGGTGGGACGTCGGGCGCGTGTAGCGCTAGTGTGATCTACTCGCAGAAGTGTTAGCCCGTGACAGGTGGGACATCGCTTGAAAGTGCATGGTTGATAGAAAAAGTAAAACAAAGAGATATCTGAACCAGAAACAGATCAGATTGATTTTATTGGTCGTCTCCTTCATTATTCTCTGCAATCAGTAAAGGAGCGCCGGGGGGGGGGGGGGGGGGGGGTGGGGGGGGAACCAAACAAACGATCTATAATCGTTGCTCTGATACCATAAAAGGTTTAAAGAATGAGAAAATTATGGTATGATTATTTTCGTTGGCCATGGTTGGTGCCGGAGATTAGGATTTTGCAGTTCCAAGAGGAGAGAGCTCTGATACCATGTTAACTTTATGATGTAGAAATATAAAAATAGGAAGATGAAATAGAGAAAAATTAAGAACACAGTATATCATATATATGGTTTGGCGGCACTAAGGCCTACATTCATGGATCAAGAGCCATTGAGGCTACATTTATCTTATTAATTCTCGATACGTTTATATTGTATTAATACACAATATATAGGAAATAAAGTTCAAAATGAATAAATTAAGGAAAAAGAATATAATATATATGTATAATATATTATACATATATATATATATATATATATATATATGACTTTCATTTGTTTGTCACCTTCTCTGTAGTCTGTATGTAGTGTACAGTCCTTAATTTTTGTTTTGCTTCTTCAAAGTGTTTTTACATTAATTATACATAATGGTGAAATATAAAAGATTAGTATTTGTCATTGTTTGTTAGGATGTTGATTAAACCACCAAATCTAGACAATCTAACAGAAATCCTAGTGAATTCTCATGAGACGACTATTGACTTTATAATGATAATGATATAAAATTGTTTTGTTGAGGTGACTTGCCCACGAGTGACCAAAGTAATTGTGATTGTTTTAAAGCCAAATACAATGACAAAAAGCTAAACTCGAGAAGACTATGGTTGCACGTGCACACTTGTCTGTTCAAATGAGGTTACAGATAGAGGGA